AAAAAGATGATGCTGTGAAAGTGCTGCACTCAATATGCCAGCAAATTTGGAAAACTCAGCAGTGGCCACAGGACTGGAAAAGGTCAGTTTTCATTCCAATCCCAAAGAAAGGCAATGCCAAAGAATGCTCAAACTACTGCACAGTTGCACTCATCTCACACACTAGCAAAGTAATGCTCAAAATTCTCCAAGCCAGGCTTAAACAGTACATGAACTGAGAACTTCCAGATGTTCAAACTGGTTTTAGAAAAGGCAGATTAACCAGAGATCAAATTGCGAACATCCATTGGACCATCGAAAAAGCAAGATAGTTCCAGAAAAACATCTACTTCTGCTTTACTGACTATGTCAAAGCCTTTGACTGTGTGGATCACAAGACTGTGGAAAATTCTTAAAGAGATGGGAATACCAGACCATCTGACCTGCCTCCTGAGAAATCTGTATGCAGGTCAAGAAGCAACAGTTAGAACTGGACATGGAACAACAGACTGGTTCCAAATGGGGAAGGGAGTACATCAAGGCTGTATATTGTCACCCTGCTTATTTAACTTATCTGCAGAGAACATCATGCAAAATGTCAGACTGTTTGAAGCACAAGCTGGAATCAAGATTGCCGGGAGAAATATCAATACCCTCAGGTATGCAGATGACACCACACTTATGGCAGAAAGTGAAGAAGAACTAAAGAGCCTCTTGATGAAAGTGAAAGAGGACAGTGAAAAAGTTGGCTTAAAACTCAACATTCAGAAAACTAAGATTATGGCATCTGGTCCCATCACTTCATGGCAAATAGATGGGGGAAACAATGGAAACAGTGAGAGACTTTATTTTCTTGGGCTCCAAAATCACTGCAGATGGTGACTGCAGCCATGAAATTAAAAGACACTTGCTCCTTGGAAGAAAAACCATGACCAACCTACATAGCATGTTAAAAAGCAGAGACATTACTTTGTCAACAAAGGTCTGTCTAGTCAAGGCTATGGTTTTTCCAGTAGTCATGTACGGATGTGAGAGTTGGACTATAAAGAAAGCTGAGTGCCAAAGAATTGATGCTTTTGAGCTGTGGTGTTGGAGAAGACTCTTGAGAGTCCCTTGGACTGCAAGGAGATCCAACCAGTCCATCCTATAGGAAATCAGTTCTGAATATACATTGGAAGGACTGATGCTCAAGCTGAAACTCCAATACTTTGACCATCTGATGCGAAGAACTGACTCATTTGAAAAGACCCTGATGCTGGGAAAGATTGAAGGCAAGAGGAAAAGGGGACAACAGAGGATGAGAATGTTGGATGACATCACCGACTCGATGGACATGACTTTGAGCAAGCTCCAGGAACTGGTGATGGACAGGGAAGCCTGGTATGCTGCGGTTCGTGGGTTGCAAAGAGTCGGACATGACTGAGCAACTGAACTGACTGAACTGAAGCTTTTCTATTCACAGGTGAACAGGGACAAACTATCTCTCCATGAGCTGAACAAAGGCACTTTAGTTTAGCAGGGGGGCAGGGTCCTCCAGACAAGCCATTGAGTATGATTATAATACTAAAAGCAAGTCATAGAAACAGTTTCCAACATGGAGTCAGAACTGGCTTCCTCCCTGCAATAATGTGACTAAGTTTTGACCTGTCAGTGGGAAGTGTTGTGTGAGACTTCTGAATAGGAGCCCTCTTTTCTTAACAGCTTCTTGCCTTCAATGCAGAAAAGATGCCTAGATCTCCAGTAGCCAGCTTGGGCCCTAGGGTGACCTTTAAAATGTTTGCCACACACTAGGGTGGTGAAAGGTCAAGACAGAAGAAACCTGCTCAGTTCAGTTGCTCAGTTTTGTCCGACTCTTTGCGACCCCATGGACTGCAGCATGCCAGGCCTCCCTGTCCATCACCAACTCCCGGAGCTTGCTCAAACTCATGTCCATCGAGTCGGTGATGCTATCCAACCATCTCATCCTCTGTTAACCCCTTTTCCTCCTGCCTTCAATCTTTCTCAGAATCAAGGTATTTTCCAATGAGTCAGTTCTTCACATCAAGTGGCCAAAGTATTGGAGTTTCAGCTTGAGCATCAGTCCTTCCGATGAATATTCAGGACTGATTTCATTTAGGATTGACTGGTTGGATCTCCTTGCAGTCCAAAGGACTCTCAAGAGTCTTCTCCAACACAACAGTTTAAAGGCATCAATTTCTCAGAAGAAACCTGAGTCCATGATAATTGTGGAGCAACTATACCTGCTTTGGGTTGCCTTCCTCTACACTATTTTTACTTAAAAGAATAATAAGTTCTATCTTGTTTAAGACAGTATTATTTCTAGTCTCTGTGACTATCAATACAATTCCTAAATGATACACAAATTATTAGTTGAAAATATTTTGGAATTTTAGGATTAAATTTCCAGGTATGTGTAATAAAATGGTTCTTTCCTAAATCTCCCTCCATCTCCCCCTCTCTCTTTCTGCCACTCTATTACAAATACATTTCAATTTGTAAGAGAGAAAACCAGGTAGTTATGTGAGGTTGCATCAGTAATGCATTTTGTGCCATTGCAAAGGATGAATTTTGTAGTAGGAATTATGAGAAGATAAAAGCTAAATCATTACTCAAGATTTTTCAGTATGTGTATATGGACAAAAAAATAAGTGTGGAAGGAAAATATAGAAATGGAATGTAGCAACAGTATGTTAGCAAATGTGTTTTTTAAATTTATTTTCACATTTTGCTAAGGTAAGAACAATATAATAGTGAGGGAGGAAAGATCAATTTATAGAGCAGTCAGATGAAATAGTAGTTATTCATCATTTTCTCTTCAGAAGCTGCCCCAGTTCTCTCCATCTTTTGAGATTCAGCTCTTCTACAAAGTTCTCACGGATCTCCCTATAGAAATTAACCTCTGCCATTTATGCATTTATCAGGACTAGAGTTAAATTACAGTAAGGGAGGTATGTGTCTTAGGTACATCATTTAAATAATGCCAAAAAGCTCAGTAATCAAGATAAATATTTTAATGAAACATTTTAATTAGCACACTACAGTATACAAGCCAGAGTCCTTATTTTGTAAATAAATTTTTAATTACACTTCATATTTGTCTCAATTACAGCACTCAAATAGTGCTTTTTATAAATGTTCTCCCCTAATAGGGAATAGGCTGCATCTATTTTTGTATTCCCCATGTTCTTACTACTCTGTTTTAAGCATAAAGGCCTTTTGAAAAATATTATATTGAATTTTTTGAGATTTTGCAAGAATATACTATACAAGAGACTGCAGGTTTGTATTCATCTTAAATTCAATAACAGCCAAAGAATAACAGAGAGTGATGGATGTTTTGAAAGTATTTACAATTCAGTTCTATGAAAATCACCTGACTTTTCTTTGATTAAAACCCTGCTCAGCCTGGAGAGAGAGGGAATTGTAATACTACTTTATATTCATATAACACTTTGCCCTACATAAAGTGCTTTCTTTCAATCCTCATCTTACTCTTGCTAGGTAGGTATTATTATCCTTATTTATTATGGAAAGATCGAAAAGTTAAGTTACTTGTCCAAGGAGTTACAGGCAGACAGTGGCAGAGCAGGGGTTTTAACCCAGTTTTTTTGTGTGTCAAATATCCAATGACTTCTGCTACTCCAAATCCTAAATTTTGGAGAACTGACTGAGGAGAAACAATTCATGCAGTAACAACAGCCTGTGTTGTGTTTTTGAAACAATGTCAGTGGCACCCTAAACAGTAGTATTTTACCAAGTGTACCCATATGATTAAAATTCTGATTTTTATGTGTGTGCGTTTGATGAAGTAACTCTTCTGGCATAGGATTGGCTGTTTTATGGTATTTTTTAGTTGAAGGGAAAAAACCCTACACACTGAAATGTCAAGGAAACGGGGTAATTGAGGAAATTATGTATTACTTGAGTATTAGTTTCTAACTACAGCTTTACCGCTAATGTATGCACGATATTTAGCAAAGCACGTAAATCATACATGTTTGCCTCTTTATGAAAAGAAAGCTTTGGTAAGGTCTTTGAACTTTTCAGCTGAAAAAGGTTATTTCAATGTGAAATATTATTATAGTAGTCCCAAGTTAGAAGTTGATTAAGTTTAATGAGTTTCTTTTTCATACTTAGGGGGGAAAATACCTATGACTATATTTTAAAACTCCATAAGTAATTAAATTTGTTTGAGAGCCTGTAACTGCTTCAAATATAATTTCCATCAGCATATAATAAACACAACCAAAACCCCAAATGTTCATTATTGGCTAGTCTAGTAGGTTTCTTATGAAAAGTATAGATTCTCTTCATTGATTTATGCCTGGAGAATTAAAAACTTTAGTCTTCTTTTTTGCCTTATTCTCTAGAACAAACAGAACTCAAAGGAATTCAAAGCCATTCTTTCTGGTAAATTGCAACCAGTCATCAATGACTATTTATTGAATGTCCACAGGGTGCCTAGGCACTGAAGTAGCAAGTGATTTATTTGCATTATTTAAAGGATTTCTAAGGGGAGTCTGAAGATTAGCAGACGTTTTTAAAGATGCCAAGCGGTGTGTGCGTCTCTAATTTAAATTGCCCCTAGGGGAAATGATTAGAATAGTCTAGGTTTCAGAGCCCTGGGGATTTCGAACACCCAGAGCCGACTTTTGTTAGTGAAGACCCCCGTGGGTGCCACAGGACTGAAGGGGCTGGGGCTCAGAACACTGCCCTACCACGGGCTCCAGGACGAATCAAGCCCTCCTTGGGCAGGAGCAGGACCGACTACGGCCACGGCGGCTCACACACGCCACCAGCCCATCCTTCTACTCCCCTCCCCGCGCACTCCCACTCCCTCCCCTCCACCAGCGCACACCATCTCCCAGTCTCCCAGCCCCGACTGGTTCTCGCGAGATCCGGGCAACTGAGCGCTCGGGGCCTTTTCAAATTGGGATCCGTTACCGCTTTGCCGGCCGCCGCCATTGTCGCGCTCGGAGCCCCTCAGCGCAGGCGGCGGAGGCGGAGGCCGTAGCGGCGGGATGGCTGACGCCGACAAGCCTGAGGTGCTTAGGGCCGCTGGCGACGACAGCCCGCATCGGCAGCCCTCGGAGCCGCCGGGCGAGCCCCGTCGAGAACCTCACCCGCCCGAGCTGGAGAAGCAGCCTCCGCAGCACAGCAGCAGCTCCAATGGCGTTAAAATGTATTGTCTCTTCCTCAGGGGACCGGGACGAGGTGGGGGGCGGGAGATCGACCTGGGGGCTGGGGGTGCCGAAGCCGGGGCTGAGCCTTGGCGGAGGATAACCGTCCCCGGGCCGTGGGCGGCGGGTTGGTGCAGGTGCAGTCGGCCCTCTCCCGGGCCCTCCCCGCCCGCACCGAACCGGGGGAGCCCGGATGCGGGCCTGGGGGCTACCCTCTCCTGCTACTGACCCAAGACCGCGAGTCACCCCCTCTTCCCGGACTTCGGTTGGAGAACCCTTACACAGAACTCGGCGGTCGCCACGATTTGCGGGAAAATGGTACCTCCCTTTAAAGGCCAATAGTTAGTGTTCATCACTAGGGAGTAACTAGGGATGACATCATCGGACATTTCCTCTTAACCACCGAGAACGTTTGTAAAAGGAATATCCGCACCGCCCCCCCCCCCCATCTTCCCGGCCTTATTCTGAGCTTTATAAGTTCACTGTTGTTTTCTAAAGTGTATATTCATTTCTTAACTGATCTGTATACCAAGAGGAAGTTTAGTAGTGTGCTGTGAGACCGAATCCATTGTGTTATCCTTGAATTGGTGAGAGGTACTTTAAAAAGGAACGGTGCGTGGTGCCTTGCTCCGCCCCCTCCCTTACCGCTTCCCCATGTTTGTCAGCCACACGGGCTTTTTAAAAAAAACTCAATGCGGGATGGTAGGATCTTAATTTTAGTAAAATAAGATCATTTTTTAGTTGAAGGAAACCCAGTACTTAAAACATTGCAGCTGTCATCAGTGCCGATGAAGAGTGTAGTCAGTACGAGTCATAATAATTTCCAGTTAAAAGGAAATGCTGTGCTTCCCTTTGTTCTTGTTATATAGAAGGAATATGAAGTCAGACATTTCATCTGCACATGCCCAGCTCTTTAAACCTGAAGTTGAAAGTATGTTAATAATTTTGTGAAAACACTACTAGAAAGGAGTGAAGATAATGTTCACACTAAAGTAGGAAAGATAGAGGTTGTTACTTTTCTTTTGTATAAGAATGTTTGTAACACTGTGTAAGACCTGGACCAGTCTAAGGGTTGACTGCAGATGAATTAAAGTAGGTCTCCCAGCTCTGGCATGTACTCTTGCTCTCAGTTGGATTTGAATAGATTGGACAGTATCTTCTAGGCAAAACAGAGGTGCGGGTATAGGAGATTTGACTTATCTCCTAGTGGAGTTTGTTCCTAGGTGGAACCTGGTGCACTTAGTAACTGAAGACCAAAAAAGTGAATGAAGCATTTTCTACCTTTCCTGAGAAATAAGAAGTACTTTGTTTTATCGTAATATGGGCCTGCCACCTCCTTATCAATAAGTACAACCTTGAAATATGGAGAGGAGCCCTACTCTACTTGGGTATGATTAGTATAATAGTCTTGGTACAGATAAAGCTCGCATCTGAACTTCCATGAGATCTAAAAGGCTCTAATCCCTTTTAAAGTCCCATGGGGGTGTAGCTAGACAGCAGAAGCAAGAAGTGGGAAAAGAATCACTTTCACTTCTTACTGAAGCAGAGGTAAATATAAGGTGAAGAAATGTTACCAGTAAATACAAATGCAGATTCTTTTCATATTGCTTATAACTCATCTTTCTCCCTACCTCTTTTCCCAGTTGTGTAAAGAAACCAGTTTACTATCAGGGGTTTCTTGTACTGTCTGTTCCTTAAGAACATATAACAGACCATCATGGATCACTTGGGCTTCCTAGGTGGCTCAGTAGCAAAGAATCTGCCTACCAATGCAGGAGACCTGGGTGTTTGATCCGTGGGTTGGGAAGATCCCCTGGAGGAGGAAATGGCAACCCACTCCAGTATTCTTTTCTGGAAAACCACATGGACAGAGGAGCCTAATGGGCTACAGTCCATAGGATCACAGAGAATCAGACAGTAAGTGAGCACATAGGCATGGGTCACTCACATTAAGTAACTAGAGACATTTACCTACATCAGCCTAACAACCTTTTTGTTGACTCTGGGCACCAACTGAAGTAGTCAACAACACAACACATAAACCTTGAGTTGATTCACCATATATTCTTAATGATAAGAGCTTGTAGCACTGATAAAAATGGCCACATATTGCCTTAAAATGTATGCTGCTTAGAGGTGAACAGAGTGCTGTTTGTCATCAAGACTGAAATGATTTTTACTGAGGCTAGTCCATAGTAATTGAGCACGGAGGCAGCTATGTCGGCATCAGCTATGTCTTACTCCTCTTTGTATTTAAAAACGCCCAGTAAACATTTAAGAAATGCCAAAGTGAGCTTTCATATAATCATGAAACTCAGGTACAGAGGATTTCTTTGGCATGTTCACATCTTTTGACAAGGAATTAAAGATGTTTCCCTAGGTCTAGTCTTTTTCTTTATGCCAAAATGGTATACTAGCTCTCCTTAAGTGAATGCGAGGAGAAATGGCATTGTTGTTATAACTCTTCATTATTCATGTATGACTAACAACTTGGAGCATATGGAAATTGAGAGTTACATTATGATGCTTGTACAGAATACTAAGCATTGGTGCAAGGTGTAGTGTTGGAAGTAGAATAGTGTTTTTATCATATTAGGAGTAAAGAATGGAACTGGCTTAATTTTGGATCTCATAGCGTTATGCTTTCAAAATCATATATTAAAACTAGGTCCTCATTTGATGTTGGATACTGATTTTTCAGAAAGTGAAGTTATTTGGGTAGACATAATTCAGTCTTAAGAGTAGATAATGTTTTTGTAACAGAATCATCACAGTATTTCAAATACATTAAAAGGGAGATTGCTTAGATGAATAGTTTGGTAATTATTACATGGAATTCTGAATATAGTGCCAATAGTTTGATATTATGTAACATTTTGCCTTAAGAATTTCACATATGTCTTTCCCATAGTGTATTTATGACATAGAAATGAGTTCAGAAATTGAGTAATTATAGTTCAGTTTCTTTTTAAAAATTGATTTGTATTTTACAGTGTTGCATTGATTTCTGTGATGCAACAGTATGAATCCACCAGAAGTATACGTATATCCCCTCCCTCTTGAATGTTCCTCTCACCCCTCCCCTATTATTATAGTTCACTTTCTTATCAGACCATACCTTTCACAACTACATTGATTTTACCTTCCATAGTAATCTTAATTTGTGCATTGTAGATGAGCAGTTTAGCAGTATCTTTAAGATGCCACTAATGGGGAAAAACATGGAAGATATCTCTCCCTCTGGTAATCCCTTGAGCAGTAAAGAGCATATCCTTTACTACTTAAAAGTGAAAGTGAAAGTCCCTAGAGTCTGACTCTACTGAAGTGGGTAGCCTTTCCCTTCTCCAGGGGATCTTCACAACCCAGGGATTGAAGCCAGGTCTCCCGCAATGCAGGCAGATTCTTTACCATCTGAGCCACTAGGGAAACCCAAGAATACTGGAGTGTCTTGCCTATCCCTTCCCCAGGGGATCTTCCCCATCCAGGAATCAAACTGGGGTCTCCTGCATTGCAGGTGAATTCTTTACCAACTGAGCTGCCAGGGAAGCCTTTACTACTCAAGGGATTATATTATTACTACTCAAGGGATTAGTAATAATGATCCTACATTATTGCTTTTTAGTGGAGTTGTCAGATTGTTGTAACTTTACAACATCCAAGTAAGAATAAAAAAACATAATTCAGAACTTTGTGCAATTTTCATAATTGGTTTTACTTAGGAAGAAAATGGCAGGGGAATGGGTATTTGGATAGGGACTATATAGCTGTTTGCTCACCTGAACAGAGACTTACTTTAAAAATATTTGTTGAATTCAGACTATATAAATAGGTTCTTTGGGGGATGGAAAGAAGGATTTGTTCTTGTATCTGATGTACCCGGGAAACAGGGTCCTCTGTGGCTTTTGACTGCTTGCTGCCATTTATAGGAGTGCCACTCTGTTTAGACAGGTAGGTACTTGCTAGAGTACAGTTGAGGAGATCACCTCCAGGCATGCCATTTCTAATGAGGGAAGATGTTGGATAGTGAAGGTATCCCTGTCTAGGTCTGAAGAGGTGGCAACACATATTTGGCCCTAATGTGTCTTCCTTGATTTTAGCAGTTTTTCTGGCAGATAGTAGCATCATCTGTGCTCAGATGAGTATGGTTTCTTAATTAACTATTCGCTCAAAAATGAACATTTGTCAAGCACGTGTTACTATCACTGCAGATGGTTTTTGTTCTCTAGCATTTTACATACTGTACTCATGGCTAGGTTGTTTCCTGCTCAGAAAAACAGTTATCTGAAAAGTTTGATGTATTGTGGAACAAGTGACTACAATTAGAGGTGTGTGTGAAGTACTGCAGTGTATATATCACACAGTTGCTTGGCTTAGAAGTTAATATGGAGCCTGGATTATGAAACCTGATTGGTTGTCAGAATAACCCAGGAAACCTAGGGCATCATTCTCAGAGATTTTTCTTAGTATCTGTTTGTGAAAAATTGCTTTCAAATCAAAGTTTTAATTAAATACTTTCAAGTTCAGTAGGGTAATTGGTGACTTAAAAGAAATCTATTGTTACTTCTGTTAAAGATTGCTTTTGAAAAGTAAATTACATTTTTAAAATGTATATCCAAATTTTTATCTTTAGGATTTACTTTAAGTGCTTACTTACATGTTACAGATGCTTGGTGAATAGCATCATGTAATTGAAATGTGATTACAGTCTTTTAAATGTTTTTCCAGTTAGGGCCTCATTAAAAAGTAGATTTATACATTTCTGGTTCATGTTGCATTTAAGTACTGCTTCTCTCCTCCATCCCATCCCACCTGTTATAGATATTACTCTTAATAAAAATGGCTCGATTCTGTGAAATACCCTATCCTAATTTATAGGTTAAAACAGAAATACTGAACATTAAAATAATAGGATACCTTATCAGGTTGGTCAAAACTGTGAAGAGACAAAAATTAGGAGAGTCATATGGGGAGTGTATAGATACAGATATAATTGTGTTTTGATTATGTTTTTAAGCCATGGAGGAGAAACATTCTGGGAGGAAACTGTTAACCTTTAAGATATGAACTTTTTCACTGTGTCATTTTGTAAATCAAGTTTTTAGAGTTCTGAATGAGGCCCAGAAAGTTAATTCTCCATTAACGGTGGGAGTTTTAATATACTCTAGGAATAAAATCATGCATTTCCCCCTCTCGTTAGGTTCTAACAACATTTATTAAGTAGTATGATGGGAAAAACTGGGTTTGTTTGAATGCTGCAGCTATTTAATATGGAAAAAAGGGTTGTTAAATGAGAACTTTGGTAATATGCTGAAATCATTGCTTTGAAAAGACATTGATTGGGTAATTTCAAAGCCAGTAGTTGACTCTCCAGCTGCTTTCCTTAGGTATAACTTAGGGGAGAATTTTCTGAAGTGATAAATGTGAAATACTTATTTTAACATAGACTTCCACTATTGGAAGCACCACTGAGGTTTTCTTTTTGTTGTTCTGTTTTGTTTTTAATTCACAGAGAGAATGATGAATCAGTCAAAGAAGAGAAATCTGAATTAAAAGAAAAATCTACAGGGAATAAGAAGGCCAATAGATTCCATCCTTATTCAAAAGATAAGAATTCAGGCACTGGAGAAAAGAAGGGTCCAAATCGTAACAGAGTTTTTATTAGCAACATCCCATATGACATGAAATGGCAAGCTATTAAAGATCTAATGAGAGAAAAAGGTAACTATTTTTTGATAAACTCACTGTTGGATAATCTTCCTTTAGAATGGGGAGGGAGATAAGCAGACTTTTTTCATTCCTCTTGGCCACACAGACTCAAAAGATTGATTTTTGTTTATTTCTTGACACATAAATTAATCTTTTCCTCTTCTTTCACTTGGTACAATTTCATTACAAGGTAGTATGGTTAAATGAAGTGTTTTTTTTTTTTTTTTTTTTGCCATGTTAGTGGGGAAGGAGCGAGCCAACATATGCATGCCACCAAGAATTTTGTTAAAAGTGATTGCTTTGTCTAGTTGAAGTTTTTATAGATTTTTTAAAGGACTATTGCATTAGGTAAGCAATACATTTAGTGTGTTAAAGTATGAATAATAAGGTCTGATTATTTCTTTTTCCAAAAGCTGTTTTGTTATTATCTTGGTGGAGTCTGGAATCTGGCTGTGGAATTCATTTTGTTTGCATTGTCATGAATGCCATGATGCTGTCTCTGCAGTTCTATATTAAAATTGCGTTACTGCTGTTGCAGTTTTGTTTTCAGAATAACCTGAAAACCTTCATTTTATATATATGGTTTGTTTTGGGGAAAAATCATTTTAATACTTGATCTTGTAAAAGTTAGTTTTGTTATCTCTTGAAAAATTGAGTTTCAATAGTCCTGCAAACTATGTACTTGGTTTTGAGGCTGATCTAATAAATAAAAAAAATTTTTTTGCATTGGTGTATCTGTTGTAAGGTGACAACTATTTGATTGGTTTTATTCACTGACTTTATTTAGAAAGTGTGTGGCTTGCTGTGAAGCATGACTTGTAAATTTAGTTTACTGACGGCAAACATGATTTGAAGACATTCAGGTAGAAAGTCACCTTAAAACAGCTGTTGTGTGTAGGCGACCAAAGTTATTTGAAAAGTGCTAATGTTGATGTTTTTAATATGATAGGCTAAGGGACCTTTTGTATGTATATGTGCATTTGTTCACCAACTATATCATGCTGGCCAAAATATGATCTGTAGTATGAATTAGGTTAATATGGTTGTTAGCTTTTTTAGAGAATGTGGATGATGTACATTTCTGAAAATTAGTTAAATTTACATAGCCATTGACAGGAGGTATGTTGGTCTGGTTTTGATTGTTGGTGAATAATAGGTGCTTTTCTGTAGAGTTGTGCACAGGTGTGCAGTAAAGCAAGATACTGGTGTTTAAATGTATTGTTTCTTGGTATCTTCCTTTTGTATGTCTTATGTAGTTGGTGAGGTTACATACGTGGAGCTCTTTAAGGATGCGGAAGGAAAATCAAGGGTAAGTGCTGTGGGCAATAATCTGCTTGAGGTTTAAAAGTTCCTCAGCAGTTTACTTTTTGTATAATACTTGTACCAGTTTTTGGAAACTTAAGTTTCATTTTGTTTTACTCTATTATGAAAGATTTGAGGCTTTATACCAGCAAGTCTGACACACAAACCAACCTAGCTGCCTTGAAGAGGTGGGTTTTGAAAATGCTCATAAAGGGCATTCAGTTTTCTAATGCTCAAAGGTAATGCTTCTTAGCCAATAGATTTTAATATAGGATTTTTTTTTGTTGTTTTCTGATGTCTTCAAGGATATTTTAAAAGTCACTGAATTGATAATATTTCCTCAGAGTTCCATGAGAGGCCTGTAGCTTAAAGGTGTTATTTCAGAATGTATGTTTGAAACTTGCACTGAAGAGCTTAATTTGGTAGCCTACAGGACTACATAAAATGCAGTGCTCTGACTAATTGGATGAATATAAAAACATTGATGATTAAATTGACAGAGAAGGAATTGGTTGATAGATTTTTATTTTTAGCAACAAAAGCAACATTGAAGAATATAATGGAAAGCTTTTTAAAAATGTTTAATTATATTAGCAAAAACCAGTTGAGTGCATGAGAAATAAAACGTATGTAATCACATTCAAAGGGCACTTTGAATAATAATTATGACAAGGAACTATTTAAAAAATGATTCTACTACTTTGTTTCTTTAGCATAAATTTTTTAAAAACATAGTTACAACTGGATGTTATTAAATTGTGTGCAGCCAGTTTTCTTTGAGAACTTCATAAAAATAAAATTGGAAAATTTACATTAAAACTATTTGTACACCATACATCTTTCAAAAATACATATAACAATGTAAGGACAGGTATTTGAGAGCCTTCAGTTATTTCCTTGATGGAATTTGTGCAATAATGACATTGCTTTAGTTTTAAAGAACAGTCATCTAAAAGTAAAAATGTGCTTCTAGATGCTAGATTATACAATCTTAAATGGATAGATCTAAAAATTTATAGGAAATTTGCGGTCATTTGCCTGTTATGTTCTGGAGATGTAAAAGACAGAGTGATTGCATTATCAACTGTTTTAATGATTTAAATGTTAGAATCTGTCGTTAACTTCATCTACTGATCCAAAACTTTTTTTTCTTTTGCATATGTTGACAAATCTACCTGGATGTAGGGTTGTGGGTAAGAATTTTTTTTTTAAGTATCTTAAATGAAATTTAAATTTATGATTGGAAAAAAATCTTAGTACATAAACATTTCCTATAAATTTTTTTCCCATTAAGTGTGGTTGAATTCAAAGATGAAGAATTTGTCAAGAAAGCACTAGAGACAATGAACAAATATGACCTTAGTGGAAGACCGTTGAATATTAAAGAGGTAAGATTTCTTGTATTTGAAGTAATTTAAACATTTGAATAAAAGGATATAGCTTCTTTGGATTTTCATGTGGTAATGTTATTTATCTGATTACAACATTTTTTTAAAAGCATAGATGCTTATTAAAGTGTTATATAATTGATGACAGTTTTGCTTGTACATGATTTCATATTTGCTCTTAAGCAATATCCTATGTATTTGATTGTCACCAGTTGTTATAAGCAGAGTGTATGATTTGTAAAAATTACAGGGTACAGAAAGTTAAAGAGGATAAACTTCAGATGCTGACTTTGTTTGGTATAAACGCTTTCAGTTTTCAGATTGTGTTGTCAGATTTGAATAATACTTGTAGTTGATAAAGTTTACTTAGTAATTCAAATACCTTATAGATTTAAATGAAATTGATACTCACTTTTAATAAAATTAACCTGAAACTATCCCTGATTAAAATTTAAGAAAAGTTATAAATCTATTAGTGAAATATATAACCAGAACTTATTTATAAATAGAGATGTTTAGATGCCTCCCCTAAAATGAAGATGTGCACTTTGTGTGAAGCAGTGTAAATATATTGACAAAAGAATGATCAGAAGATAAAATGAAAAACTGTTTACAGTTAGCTGTTAAATTAACCTTGAAAATGGCTCGTTTGAATAGAAGTCATTTTCATGTCTCTCTTTAGTTCATATTGTTAATCTTACCTGAATAGTTTGATCACACACCACTTAGGAGTATATCCTTTTAAAAGTCTGTAATAAGAAACAACAGGAATATAACCTTGGGATGCTGAAGAGTTTCCACCAACATGGATACAAATCATTGTGGAACAGTACTGTCAGTCACAATTTAATGTAGTATGGTGTTGGTTTGAGTCCCAGCTCTACCATTTTCTAGCTGTGTGACGAGTTAACTGTAATAATAATTTTGACTATTGTTATTGCTGCACAAGGTGAGAGTGTAACTAGGTCCTTGGTCTTGTGTTCCTGGAAATGAGATGAAAAATATCTTGAAATTAAAGGCCATGCTGCCAGCAAATAAAAGTATCCCGTATCTCTTTATTGGAGTCAGCTTCTGAGTTTCTCTAATTCTGTTTGAGCCTAGGGGTTTTTCGTTTTTGTTGTTGTTAATATTTTGACTGAGAAGTAGAAAATTGGTAGAGGAAGTTTAGACTCTAGTAAGCTGTGCCATTTATTTGGTATTAACTAATTTTCATGCATAAGCCAGGGCCAATTTTTCAGAAAATGTGTTGATACCCTAATAATTTCCCATAAGGAAGTAACATTTGTAGAACAACCACCATATAGGAAATTATTATTTTGAGGATCATGACTTGTTTTTTTACGATGTTTCCTATCCCTCTTCAAAAGACAAGTATTACAGGGAATTCTCTGGTGGTCCAGTGGTTAGGACTCTGTGTTCTCACTGCCAAGGGCTGGGGTTCAATTCCTGGTCCCAGAACTAAGATCTCACAAGCCCCACAGTGGAGCCAAAAAAAAAAAAAAAAAAAAGGACAAGTATTATAGGTTCTGTGTTTGTTTTGTTATTTTTTTTAACTGGGAACAAAGCCCATACTGTTTCTGTTCTTTTAAGTTTTAGTGCATTGTAGATCCTTGGTAATATTTCAGAGACCCTATAACAGATTTATGTGATCCAAGGTGATATAGAGTACTTCTTATTTTTAACTTCCTAAAGAGAAGAATGATTGAGTTGACTGAGCTAAATGATGAGGTGTTCTTTATTTAATTAACTTTTCTGGATTATTATCTCTAAAGGTTCCTTTCTTGAAATTATATGATTTTCATATGGGTGGCTAGGATCATTGCTGAGAAATACTAGTTTGAATCTAGGGAAGAGTATATTTCCAATGTTTATTAACAGATATTAGAATTACATTTTAAAATTTACTTAAATGTGCTTAGTAGCAGTTATAAACTTATAGGCCCTCTCATAGCAAAAGTAGACAGGGACAGACAGACACCTAATGGGAATGGAGGACTAAAAACCATGTTGTATAGTAGTTGGTTTTACATAAGTTGTATTTTATATATGTTTTATGATATGTGTGTATTTTGTGTGTATATATGTTTATATGTATGTCATATAATAAAAATGAAAATATAGCAATATGCTTTATTAACATTAAGATGTTAAGGAGAAACTGACTATCTTAATGGCTCATGAAGCATTTCCCCTGCTAAGTCCTCCTCCTTCCCCCATGGGTAACCACTATTCTCAGTTTTGTATTTGTGCAAGGTTTTGAAACCTTAGTCCTGAAACATTTATTTATTAATTTGAAAAGTTATGTAGCATTCTTCAGAACACTTCTTTGCTTTTGTATTTCTTTTTATTTCTTCATCACGATGGAATACATTGAATGCCAGAATACCTTTATTCTTACATTCACTTCACCCTCTGTTCTCTTAGCCTTCCTAGAAAATTTATTAAAGTCACCCAGCTTTCTTTTCATTAGAATTCCCTGACCAGGACCAGCAGAGTAGAGTGTAGATGGTTATGTGTATTGTAATCATTTGGTGTTGCAGATAGTAGTAGTCTGTGCATTTATGTGATTTTTGTTTTTGTACTCTACTGAGGTAAGTGAGAAGTATGTTTAAGCTTGCCTTTTTTTTGTTTTGTTTAAAGGCAGAATATTTCTCTTAAAAGTTAATGAACTAAAGAAAACAAAACCAAACAGTGTTTAGTACCATTCTCTACTTGGTACTTAGCCTTTCTTTATCTTCCTCTTCCCTCCATCTCAAATTGTAATCATTGTTGAGGTTGGAAAGTGTATAAGTCTCTTTTGTTCAGGAATAAAATTTGCAAATTGTAACACTTCCCCTCTACCCCAGTATTTCTGGGTTTTGTAACAGTTTGTTCTGCTGTTGAAAGCTTTGAGGTAATATGAATTTGACATTGCTTTGGGTATATAATGAGAATTCATCATTACTGCATTTTGAAAAGGAAAGAGTCACAGTAAGTATTTGTTCCTCTTTGAGTTATTTGTATGTGTATGTGCCATATATTTGTATACCTGTGTGAGGACAAAATTAAACTAATTTCAAGTTCTTAAGTGACTTTAGTGATTGGAAAGAGGTATTTAATTGACATCCCTGGAGACTGAAATCTTTTGTCTGTCCACAGGTTTTTATGGGACTGGATTCTCTGGATGAGAAAAAAGTTCACTCTTCAAGAGGGCCAGTAATTTGAGCCAGTTTGGATAGCTGCTGTAGAACTTGAAGTTGTTATTTTAGTGCTATAGATTTACTGATGTATATAGTGGCATTTAACATTACTATATGTTATAGGATCCTGATGGAGAAAATGCTCGTAGGGCATTGCAACGAACAGGAGGATCATTTCCAGGAGGACATGTACCCGATATGGGATCGGGATTGATGAATTTACCACCTTCCATTCTCAATAATCCAAACATTCCTCCTGAGGTTATCAGTAATTTGCAGGCTGGTAGACTTGGTTCCACAATTTTTGTTGCTAATGTAAGTTTAAGCTTTACTCTAAAATTTTGCCATTCAGATATTTAGTTCTAATCATGAGATTACTAGATGAATGGGTTACAGGTTTATAAAACATTTTACTTGTTTTTAACTAAAGTAAGCAAAACAGTAATTATTATCAACTCAAACCCAATTTGACTCCATAAATACAAGGTTAGAGTGTAAACACAAGTATTTAGGATTTTTTAAAATAGAACTGTGGAATTTATAAATAAACAGTTCTTGATATTATGTACTATTATTGTATGTGATTTTAGTCATATTGGTAAGTGGATTTCTTTTAGGTTTGATATTTGTGAATGTGCATGTTGTTGTTGGTTTGTCTTAAGCTTTTGAAAGTCAGTGATATCAATCATACTTTCCAAAATCTGAATTTCTGTCAGTAAAAATAGATATGAAAGTTTCAAATGTACAAAACAGGACTGAGCAGCAATGAGAGGCTGTTTTGAGAATTTAAAAAAATCAAGGGTAAGGAACAACATAGATGTAGCTTACTGATCTTTAACAACTTAAGATTTTTTTTTTTTTAAGATGTTTCTATTTGATACCGTTGATACACTGTTTTACAAGAATTAGAATTCTTTATGTTTTTGAGAATTTAGAAATGATTTGTATTATTTTAAGTGGGGAGAGGGGTTAATAGGTATGTAACTTTATATGATTTTATATTAAGCTTGACTTCAAAGTTGGTTGGAAGAAGCTAAAGGAAGTGTTCAGCATAGCTGGAACTGTAAAGCGGGCAGATATTAAAGAAGACAAAGATGGCAAGAGCAGAGGAATGGGCACAGTCACTTTTGAACAAGCAATTGAAGCAGTTCAAGCTATTTGTATCCTGATTTACACTTTAGCGTTGTTTAATAAGGTTGAAGTTTGATATCATTTTGTGGGGATCATGAAATTTAAGGTTGCCTTACTTAGAAATGTATATTAGAATTTGGTCTCCAGTGCATAAAACCTTTATTATGTCCAAGTACTAAAGTCACTCTTAAAACTTGAATTAGCCATATTATACAGGCCTGGTATTAACTTTTTCCTACTTTCTCTTCCTACTACAACTAATTGTATACATGTTGTTGACAGTAATGTATCTCATTGTACATTAACATAGTCACTTTAAATGATGCCTAGTTAGTTTTCTTTTTTCAGTAGTTGGATTAAAAGATATTTTATTTATAAAATAAAACTATAAAGCAAAGAATTGAAGCTTTGAGTATGTGGAAGAGACTAATACAAATAAGTAAAATATTAAAAGATGTTGATTAAAATATTAGGGGTAGTTTGATGCTAAATATGATTATTAAAAATGTGTTTGTGTTCAAGTATAATTTCATAGTTGTCCTAACTGGCTTTCCTTGACTGAACCAACAGCTATGTTCAATGGGCAGTTTTTGTTTGATAGACCTATGCATGTGAAAATGGTGAGTTCCTATATATCACTTCAACTCTCCAACCTCAAATTTTACCTGCTTTCTTTTATGTTACAGATCTTTTAAGTTATGTATTAACCATATAATAAACTTTTTTGCAATTAGGATGACAAGTCTGTCCCTCATGAAGACTACCGTTCACATGACAGTAAAACACCACAGTTACCACGTAAGTAAAGTTGTTATTAGAAGTAATACAGACTACTCTTTTTCAGTTTTGTTATATGCTAAACAAAACTGTTTTTCTGCTTGCATCCCTAGTTGCCCACCATTTGGTGTTTTGAGTTTTGGAGCTAGTTTGTCATAATTGATTAGAAAGACTGAGAAGATAAATATGTGCCACTTTTTTTTTCTTTTTGTAGTTTTTTCTGATTATAAAAGCAGTATATACTAGAAAGTTTGTTACGGTCTTATGTGGGTGGGGGGAAAGTCTTTGTAATTTTACTATCCATAAATAACCTCCATTATAACATTTTTGTGAATTTGCTTCCAGTGTTTCCGTTTTTTATTTCCCCAATTATTTTTATTAGTTGGAGGCTAATTACTTTACAATATTGTAGTGCTTTTTGCCATACCTTGACATGAATCAGCCATGGATTTACATGTGTTGCCCATCATGATCCCCTCTCCCACCTCTCTCCCCATCCCATCCCACTGGGTCTTCCCAGTGTACCAGCCCTGAGCACTTGTCTCATGCATCCAACCTGGGCTGGTGATCTGTTTCACACTTGATAATATACATGTTTCAATGCTTTTCTCTCAGATCATCCCACTCTCGCCTTCTCCCAGAGTCCAAAAGTTTGTTCTATACATCTGTGTCTCTTTTTCTGTCTTGCATATAGGACTATCGTTACCATCTTTTTAAATTCCATATATATGCGTTAGTATACTGTATTGGTGTTTATCTTTCTGGCTTATGTCACTCTGTATAATGGGCTCCAGTTTCATCCATCTCATTAGAACTGATTCAAATGTATTCTTTTTAATGGCTGAGTAATATTCCATTGTGTATAGGTACCATAGCTTTCTTATCCATTCACCAGCTGATGGGCATCTAGGTTGCTTCCATGTCCTGGCTACTATAAATAGTGCTTCGATGAACATTGGGGTACACGTGTTTCTTTCAGATCTGGTTTCCTCTGTGTGTATGCCCAGGAGTGGGATTGCTGGGTCATATGGCAGTTCTATTTCCAGTTTTTTAAGGAATCTCCACACTGTTCTCCATAGTGGCTGCGCTAGTTTGCATTCCCACCCACAGTGTAAGAGGGTTCCCTTTTCTCCACACCCTCTCCAGCATTTATTGCTTGTAGACTTTTGGATAGCAGCCATCCTGACTGGCGTGTAATGGTACCTCGTTGTGATTTTGATTTGCATTTCTCTGGCGATGAGTGATGTTGAGCATCTTTTCATGTGTTTGTTAGCCATCTGTATTTCTTCTTTGGAGAAATGTCTGTTTAGTCCTTTGGCCCATTTTTTGATTGGGTCATTTATTTTTCTGGAATTGAGCTGCAGGAGTTGCTTGTATATTTTTGAGATTAATCCTTTGTCTGTTGCTTCATTTGCTATTATTTTCTCCCATTCTGAAGGCTGTCTTTTCACTTTTCTTATAGTTTCCTTTGTTGTGCAAAAGCTTTTAAGTTTCATTAGGTCCCATTTGTTTATTTTTGGTCTTCTTTCCAATATTCTGGGAGGTGGGTCATAGAGGATCTTGCTGTGATTTATGTCAGAGAGTGTTTTGCCTGTGTTCTTCTCTAGGAGTTTTATAGTTTCTGGTCTTACATTTAGATCTTTAATCCATTTTGAGTTTATTTTTGTGTATGGTGTTAGAAAGTGTTCTAGTTTCATTCTTTTACAAGTGGTTGACCAGTTTTCCCAGCACCACTTGTTAAAGAGCTTGTCTTTTTTCCATTGTATATTCTTGCCTCCTTTGTCGAAGATAAGGTGTCCATAGCTATGTGGATTTATCTCTGGGCTTTCTATTCTGTTCCATTGATCTATATTTCTGTCTTTGTCTGCCAATACTGTACTATCTTGATGACTATGGCTTTGTAGTAGAGCCTGAAGTCAGGCAGGTTGATTCCTCCAGTTCCATTCTTCTTTCTCAAGATTACTTTGGCTGTTCGAGGTTTTTTTGTATTTCCATACAAATTGTGAAATTATTTGTTCTAGTTCTGTGAAGAATACTGTTGGTAGCTTGATAGGGATTGCATTGAAATCTATAGATTGCTTTGGGTAGTATAGTCATTTTCACAATATTGATTCTTCCAATCCATGAACATGGTATATTTCTCCATCTGTTTGTGTCCTCTTTGATTTCTTTCATCAGTGTTTTATAGTTTTCTATGTATAGGTCTTTTGTTTCTTTAGGTAGATATACTCCTAAGTATTTTATTCTTTTTATTTCAATGGTGAATGGTATTGTTTCCTTAATTTCTCTTTCTGTTTTCTCATTGTTAGTGTATAGGAATGCAAGGGATTTCTCTGTGTTAATTTTATCCAGTGTTTCCTTATATATGTTTTTTTTTTTTACATAGTTGAGAACTACCACATAAATAATTTTCTATTTTTTTTGTTTAGCATTAGAATGTAAGCACTATTCCTTGTTATAAATTCTTTCTAAAATTTTTTTATTGGCTATTAATCTATCATATGGATGCTCCATAACTATTTCAGTGTTACATGTATTTTAGGTATGTTAACTTTTTTTCCTTTAATCACCAACAGAGTTTTCCCTTTTTCTTTCTTTTTGTATACAAGTTTTTGGTATGTTTTTGATTATTTCCTTAGGATAGATACCTTGAAGTAGATTTACAGGTTTTCAAGTGATCAGTATTATCAAATTATTTTCCAAAGGATTATAAAAGTGCAATATAATATATTTAACACCTGTGTCTCAATGCTCAATCTTCAAAATGAGGATGCTTATGGTACCTACTTCATGGATTGGCATGAGTATTGTATGAGTTAATATATAATACATGTAAAGTGTATAGAATAGTTCTGGCATAATGTAGCTATCATAGACTATATTTGTTTTAGGTGATTTTTCTTTAAAATAACATTTTATGTATAAACATTCCTCCTCCCTTACCACCTCCCACTAGATAACCTTACCTAGAGGAAACAACTTGTAGATAAAATGATAAACACTGTATCCATATTTTAATAATTTGATTACACATTTATGCATCCATAAACATTATATGAAATTGTTTTGCTGGATTCAAAATTTGGTGTGAGTGAAATTATATTGTTCATATTTTTCTGCAACTTGCTGTTTTTGGTTTAACATTGTTTTTGAGATTTCATGTGTATTGAAAAATTGTAGTTCTAATCCCTTCCCTTCAGTTGCTAATGCCACATTTTGTAAACATATGTGTGTGTGTGTGTTTTAGGTTATTCTAATTTTTCTGTTATAAGAAACAATACTACTTTCAGGAGTATTTGTTTTCTTCCCTGAGAATACTCTGTTCTCTCAACATTGGCTAGAACTTATTTGTAAAACTAGCCCTGGTGTATATTGTTTAGGGGAAGATTTTTACTTATTTACTTTATTTACTATTATTTATATACTATTATTTACTATATTTACTGTTGCTTCTTGAGTCCATTGTGGTAATTTCTATTTTTCTGAGAATTTTACCATTTTTGTTCATTTTCATATTTGTTGGCATAAAATAGTCTCTTTCAATTTGTGCCACAGCTATAGTTCTGTCAGTTTTAAATTCCAAAGGTTTGCAATTTCTCTGTTTTTCTTAGTCAGTTTTGCTTGGATATTTGTCAATTTTATCAGTGCTTTTGAAGAAGTAAATTCTGTTTTTTATATCTTAATTTATGCTCTTAGTTTTTTTTCCTTTTCTATTTGTTTGGGTTGAGTCTCTTAGTTTTGTCCTAACTCCTTAAGTTGAATATGTACTTCACTAATTTGCAGCCTCTTTTTTTAATATAAGTAGTTATGACTATCAATTTGGCCACTATATACAAGTTGTGCTAGAGTGTCTTTATTGTGATTTAATTTTTATTAAATTACTGTTATGATTTCTTCCTAAGTCATGTATTTTTGAATTTCCAAATGTATAGGTTTTTTCTTACTAATTTCTAGCTTAGTGTGGCTATAGATGTCTATATGATTATGATTCTTTGTAATTAATTAGTTAATTTGGACTTTTTATTGTGGCCTAATATATGATACATTTTAATAAATATTCCAGGTGTTCAGTATACTGTTCTATGTGTGTTGTGTGTGTGTGCATGTGCAGTTGCTCTGTTGTGTCTGTCTCTTTGTGACCCCCATGGGCTGTAGCCCTCCAGGCTCCTCTATCCATGGAATTTTCCAGTCAAGCATACTGCTGTGTTTGCCATTCCCTATTCCAGAGGATCTTCCCGACCCAGGGATGGAACCTACATCTCTTGGGTCTCCTGGATTGGCAAGTGAATTCTTTACCACTAGTGCCACCTGGAAAGCCCTGTGCCCATTAAGTCAAATTTGTTAATCATTTAAATTACACCTTTGCTAGTGATTTTGTCTGCTTGTGCTATCAATTACTGAGATATATTTATGATAAAATCCTATGCTATTAAGGTGAATTTGTCTGCTTTTTCTTATCTTTACTTTATTTCAAAACTAATTCAGTAGATGCATACAAGTATAGAACTGATACATTTTCCTAGTGAGTTAAGATTTTATTGTTGTAGAGTGATTTCATATTTAGTAAATGCCTCTAAGTCTTTTGTCTAATAGTAATGTAGATACAACAGCTTTGTTTTGTTTATTCACTTTATAGATTTATTTGGTTTAATTTCTGTTATCTTGTGTTTTATTAGTATTTTTCTGCTTTGTACAGATATTTACTTTATATTTCTTTTTCTCCTATCTTTCCCTTTCAGTGGTTATCCTGAATATTTTAAAATGTTGATATAAAGTCTGAAGTTAATAGGATTATTCTCAAAAGCCGAATGACCTTTGAATTCTCTAATTTTAATCACTTTCCTACTGAATTATGTGCTATTATTGCTTAATGTTTTAGTTATATATTTACTTTTTATCCAGTCCCACAAAATAGGCATTATTAGTACTTACTTATCTTATTATTTGCTTTCACAGATCATGGCACTATTATTTTCCCCCCTGAAGCATATATTTTAAAAGCTCTTTCAATGAGTATCTGTTGTTAGTAAATTCTCTCAATTTTGATTCATCTATAAATGTCTTCGAAGATGAAGTTATATAGTTTAAGGTAGTTATTTTCCCTCAGCACCTTTAAAATATTCCAGTCTTCTGGCTTCCATTATTGCTATTGAGTCAGCTGTCAGCTGAATTGTCCTTTCTTTGTAGGTAAGCTGTGTTCTTCTTGTAGCCGATTTTAAGATCTTTGTCTTTGGCATATAGTTTTACTACAGTGATGGTGTGGATTATCCTTTATTGGGCTTTCACAATTGAGAATTCAATTTTTTAAAATAAATTCTGGAAAATTCTCAACATGTCTTTGAATATTGCCTCTTCTCCCTTTGTAGGGCAGTCCTTTTCTGCCCTTCCTTGTCGCTCAGGGTGTCATCTGTTAAGATCCTGGCTTTGTAAAGTAAGGGCTTTCAATTTTCTTTTCCACCATTGTTGTTGTTGTGTTGTGTTAGTTGCTCAGTTGTGCCCGACTCTTTGTGACCCCATGGACTGCAGCCCACCAGGCTCCTCTGTCCATGAGATTTTCCAGGCAAGGATACTGGAGTAGGTTGCCATTTCCTTCTCCAGGGGATCTTCCCAACCCAGGAATTGAACCCGGGTCTCCTGCACTGCAGGCAGATTCTTTACCGACTAAGCTACAGGGATTGGAACTCTTTAATTTATTTAGATTAAAAGTAATCCTTTATTATATTCATATTTTTTTATATTTATTTTATATCTATTCTTTTCAAGATTTATGGTTTTATGTACTCTTTTCTTTTGAGATGTAGTGTGCATTCATAGACTTTGACAGAATCAGTTTGTTAAGTTAATTATTTTTAATGTCTTTATTCTTTCATTTCTCCCTCTGCTTCTACTTCCTTTGCTGAAATTATTGTAACTTGGCAAATGGAGGCTTTTTCATTTCTTATGCCTCTGATATTCTTACTTTCTGGTAAGAATGGAATTTCCCAGATCCATGATTTTTCTTTTTCTGAGACATGAATTTGGTCTACTTTTAAGGAGTCCTGGTTCCTTTTAGTGAAGAATGGTATCAGAGATGAAAATAAGAGTGTTACGTGTAGACATGAGCACTATTGATAGTTAACTGTGCTATTGCTTTGAACCAGTTTTAGGGACTGAACTGAAAAAAGGTATTTCTTTTACCAGGTCACAGTGATCTTTCCAATTTAACACAACATGCTTCTGTTGTGTACTGTAAAAAAAAAAAAGTATATAATATATGGTTTTCTTAACCCTTAGAACTTACTAATTGTTTCATTGACTAGCAGGAACTTTAAAACCAAACTTAGAGTTAGTAGAGTAAAACAGTTCCCACTGTCTTTAAGGTCATCAGATTATCTTCTTAGAGTCTATTTTCAGTGAATTTAAGTAGTTTAAAAGAAGTAAAAAGAATACTGGAGTTAGAGACAGAAAACTTGAATTCTAGTGTTAGCTTAATCACATAGCATTTTGCAAGTAACTTAAGGTCTCAAAAACTACCTCATCTGTGCATAACAGATATGAAAACACTTAAGGTACCATATAAATGTGTCTGATAAAACTAGGTAATACAACATTTGCTTTATTCAATATCATGTTTACTTGGTTGTTGACTTTTTAGTTTCTTCTGAACCATCTAAAAGTAATTCCTAGATTTTAAGGGAAGGAAATGGCAACCCACTCCAGTATTCTTGCCTGGGAAATCCCAGGGACGGAGAAGCCTGGTAGGCTACGGTCCATGGGGTAGCAAAGAGTCGGACATGACTGAGCGACTTCACTTCACTCACAGATTCAATACCTGCATATTTTAGATATATAGGTCATTTATAAAGTGATTCAGAATGCTCTTAGTATTTCATTACTCTTTTTCATTATGCATTTATTTGACTGTGATATAAGATGAACCTGCTTCATAAAGCACTTCTCTTTAATAAATGATATTATAGTAAGGCCTCAGTGTGCTATATTTCAATGAAAACAAGAACTGGTGCTCTTATTTACAAATCTGCAAACTTTTAGAAATACTACTAGAGGCATATAGTTTTAAAATTTTCAGTGGCAGTTGATCAAATATGAATTGATAATAATATCCTTATTTGTGTTTTAGGTGGTCTTGGAGGCATTGGAATGGGACTTGGTCCAGGTGGACAACCTATTAGTGCCAGTCAGTTGAACATTGGTGGTGTAATGGGAAATTTAGGTCCAAGTGGTAGGTATTCTAACTTTATTATTTCTTTTCAAATGATACATTTGCCTGATTGTAAAGCTTATACTTACAGTTTGTAATAATGGTGAAAGGACTCTAGTTTATAATTGAATATTTAAGATTTTACTTCAGTCTGAAAAAAGAATGAAACCTTAAGAGCAGAGAACATGAAAGAGATTGGGCAAAGGTCAGGAGGGTTCCTCTGAGGCCAGCCATGTTACAGTTAGCCTTTTAGTACTGTGGATTTTGAATTGTCAGAGGAGAATATCCAGTATTGTTTGTGTCTTGTATATCATGGATATACTTTATTTGTGGAATGGGTGAAATACTACCATATTGTAAGGAATTTAAATTTGAATATCTAGTTGGAAAGGTAGCTTGTCAGATAGCTGTTTGACTCTTCACCTAGAGTAATCTACAGTTTATCTTTGAAAATTAATTTTTAAGCTTTTTGGTTTCAGAACCCTTTTATACTTTTAAAATTTGTTGAGCACTCCAAAGTGCTTTTGTGTATGTGGTTATATTTGTCGGTATTTACTTTATTAGAAATTAAAAATTAGAACTTAAAAATTTGCATATTTAAAATAATAATAAACTTATGTGTTAACATAAATATAGATATAGTTTTTAAGAAAACAAAAATTAGAAGAGTGAAGAGTGATATTTCACCTTCTTGTGCATCTCTTTAATATTTGGCTTAATGCAAGATAATCATGCTCTTATATTTGCTTCTGAATTCAGTTCATTATAATACCATCTATTGTGTAGTTTCTGGAAAATTCCACCTTATACTCAGGAGAAAGTGAGAGTAAAACAGTCAATATCTTAGTATTATTTGAATAATAAAATAGTTTTGACCTGTTGAGCTCTCAAAGGTCCCCATACCATATTTTGAGAATTGCTATTTTAATTGATGGACTAATAAATGCTCTCTGGTTCCTGTTTTTGTTGAGGTGCTATAGCTACAATTTAAATTGTGAGGTTAGTTAAAATAATCATTCTCATTTAAACAGGTGGAAATTTTCTCCTTTACTCTTAGGCCTTCTGCCCTCCTAAACACATACTATTTTTATTCTTTTTTACTGATCCCTTAGCTGCTATGTTTAAAGGAGACCTGATTTCTCAATCTGCTGTAGTGATACTTGTGTGTGTGAATTGAAAAAATAATGAGCTCTTGCCCAATCCTAGATATTCTCTAATCGAATGTGAGCATGACCAGTGAATTTTGTTTTCTTGACTAATGAATATTCACAGAGGCCTTTTTAAAGTCTCTTGATTAGACAACTGCTATGGCATAGCACTTTAAACCATCCTGTCTGTGCCCTGCTGCTTCTCTAGTGTTCCACTATGACTAGACTAGTATTATATCTATTGTGCTTTTGCATTTTGTCACTCTTTAGTCATTAAAATAAAGTTTATTGAAAGTAAATATTGTGTATTTCATTTGAGGTATGGGAATGGATGGTCCAGGTTTTGGAGGAATGAATAGAATTGGAGGAGGTATGTATAAGTATTTCTTTTTTTTTTTTGTATGTACCCATCACTATGTTAAGTGAATTAGAAATATGTTGAGAATTCTAAGGAAAACAAAACATGATTTACTATTGGCTCATGTCCTAAAGGATGTGAGCAGAAATTGAGCCTGGTACATACTTAAGGGATATGGAAGGTGATGTGTTATGAAGCAGTTGCACAAGTGTAGGGTAGGTGAAGAGTTTTTACTGATGAGACTTAACATTTACAAAATGCACCATTCACCTATACAACTGACAGTCACATCTTAAACTTAATCTTTATTTCATAGGAATTGGGTTTGGTGGTCTGGAAGCAATGAATAGCATGGGAGGATTTGGAGGAGTTGGTCGAATGGGAGGTAGGTAAATGTATATAGTGGGATATGTGTGGTACATTTCATTTTCCTTATTATTAAAAATGTCCCCCCTTTACTTAGGGATGGATACCATAGATATTTTCAGAGGATGTATGGGCACTAGGGGATAAGGACAGATATAGCAGGACTGGGATATATGTGGCATAGAAAGTAGGTTGGGTGAATCACGGACTTTCTGTATTGTGATTTTTGCTGTCTTTACAGTTTAGTTTCAATAAGTTCCTAAATCGATTACTGTTTATTGATAATACTTGAAAAAGGGTTAATTTGTTGCATAATCTTTTCAGAGCTATACCGTGGTGCGATGACTAGTAGCATGGACAGAGATTTTGGACGTGGTGATATTGGAATAAATCGAGGCTTTGGAGATTCCTTTGGTAGACTTGGTAGGGCTGGCTGTTTACTTCTCCTTTTCTTTTTGCAGCTTATATTTTTAGAGTTTGGCTCTCTTTTTTATGAAAAAGTAGACATTTAAAATGTTTCATGCAGTTTATTACTTGAAGAAAAATACTTTACAGATTTTAATGTACTAGCTCTCTTTTTCAGTTACATATCTGCACCCTATTTCTAGAAGACTTTGTATTTTTCAGTTTTTTTACATCTTCTGAGAGCATGGTACTTTGGGAATTTTAAAGTATGATTATTAATTAGTATATTATCTTTCCATCCTTGTTTAGGCAGTGCAATGATTGGAGGGTTTGCAGGAAGAATAGGAGCTTCTAACATGGGTCCAGTAGGATCTGGAATAAGTAGGTTTAAATTTTACTAGAATTTTATAGTAATATTTGAGTACTTGCAAAAAACTTTGCAAGAGTAGTTATTGTAGTATAGTAATACTTTGTTCTTAAATGTTACTATGACTTGTAATTTAGAGAAACTTTGGTAGTTATTGAGCTTTAGTGTTTGAAATTTCTAAACTAACTTTGAATTTTACTTCTTTGACATTTCTAAACACCAGAATATGTGTTTAATGTCACCCAATTCATGAACATTTATTCCAGCTAATGAATCTGGGGATTTTTCTAATCATGTGTCAGGAACAACATTAGCTTTAGCATCAATTTTGTTTCCTTTCTTATATTGGAGACTAGCTTATTTCATCTGTGAACAGCTTGTGTCTTCTGGTAAACATGGGTGAATTGCCTCAGATCTAACACTTCTTGAGACCTCCTGAGTCTGATGGCAAGATTGAAAGAGATGCTTATTTCCTCGCCTCTTAAATCTTTCCATGATAGAATCAAGAGTACCATTGTTGCAACCCTAGAGAATTCTAAATTTCTTCCCTCTATTTCCACTACTACATTTTAGGACTTATATTAAGCCTTAACACAAGGCTTATAATTTTGACTCCTGCTGAACCATGTCTGTGTGAGCTCTCCATACTTTATTGACTTCCTTTAATTGATTGAAATCTCACAGATAGGAAACACAGTCTACTTGAACTGTTCTAAGAGTGAGTTTTAAAAAAATCTTGTCAGTGGAAGATACTTGTACCTTGCTTCTCATTTTATTCTTTTCAACATCTTTTGTCAACCTTGGCCATTTTCCTGTTAAATATAATATCCCTATCTTCCTTTTTCACCTCAGTGTCTATACTTCTGTTCCCCTAATTTTATATTTGTTGTTAACAGAAAACCAATTTGAGGGTGATGTTAGTTTTTAGAATGGGGATACTAGAATAGCTATGAGAAATAAGGATACATTTGAGAAACAGTAGAATTGGAATAAAGAGGATTCAACTTGAATATAGCAGTCAAGTGGGTATGAGATACAAGCTAGATTCTCAGGCTCTGGCTAAAGGGATGTGATTCTGTTTTTTGTTATCTCTACAAGTTCTGTATAACATAGAGACTAAAAGTTAGGTTCTTTGGTTATTGGAAATTGAATTGATATGAAAAGAGCAATTATATGTGAGACAAGATGCTGAGGTGAAAGGTAAGCTAGGAAGAGAATATCATGTAGGATAGTATGATGAGAGCAACAGTTGGTGTGTGAGTTGTAATTATTTCAATTTATCCCATATGTCTTTGTTCTAATAATTACTAAACTTAGTAATATTAGAAAATGAAAATGAGGGAAAAAACTACTATAACATTAATGAATAAAGTATTAATAATTGGTAGAAAATTTATATTATGTTTTATGATACGAGTATAACTTCATAGAAGTGTGTATGTCTAATGTAGTTATACAGTGGCTAGAATAAACTGATTCAGTTAGCCATTAACATTCAACTAACCTAATATATACCAAATTAAAATTTGTTCTTTGGAAGATTGTTATATCACGTGTATGAAAATAATTTTATGTTTATATATTGTCTAATCACATAAATAAATTTTTATCTCCCTTTCTTTCTCAAAAATGATTCTCTCCCTCCTCTTTCTCTCCTCCTTCTTCCTTCTCCTTTTCCTTCTGCTTTTAAAACAAAAACACCAAACTCCCAAATCCTCCCTTCCCTTCTTGAAAATCCAGGTGGTGGAATGGGTGGCATGAACAGTGTGACTGGAGGAATGGGGATGGGACTGGATCGGATGAGTTCCAGCTTTGATAGAATGGGACCAGGTATAGGAGCTATACTGGAGAGAAGCATCGATATGGATCGAGGATTTTTATCGGGTCCGATGGGAAGCGGAATGAGAGACAGAATAGGCTCCAAAGGCAACCAGATATTTGTCAGAAATGTAAGCAACTAAATGTAAAGGATACTTAAAATTAATTTTTTCCTTGTGTATCTGTTACTAATACCTTTTTTCATTCTAGCTGCCTTTTGACTTGACTTGGCAGAAACTAAAAGAGAAATTCAGTCAGTGTGGTAAGTATGCTAAACTGTAGATATATTAATATTGACTATGGAGGAAAAATTGATTTTAAACTTTAAAATACTGCTTAGATCATTACCTTTCCATATGCTTATTCCTGAGTTAATTCCACTTCAAAGAAATGAATTATTTTGCTATCCTCTGACATAACAGCAGTGCATATTAGTACTAAATAACAAGATTTAGAGTAGAGTTTGTCATTGAGTAGAGCCTTTGTGGATAAAAAAGGTGCATATTGTATTACCTGATTTTTAAATGGTTACTATATCATCATTGGTTGCATTTAAAAGGATTTTTTTTCCCTGTGGGAAATATTAATGAGTGGTTTTTTTTTTTGTTTATGATGTAGTGCAGTGCATTGTCAGTATGACCCAATGAAATCCTGACTTCTAAGTGATATGGAGTTAATAGATGAGACCCATTCTGCATACTCTTGTCACTTGTACAACTCAGGTAGCTTAGGTGGTAGGTAGCATAGAACCCACTGTCTAGAATGCCTTAGACAGGTACATGCTGTTGGCCCTTCTGTTTCTTTTATAAACTGTTCTTGGCTATAATGATACTACCTGTACAACCATAATATGTTGATTAGCTCTGTAGAAAATTAGGTGGTTTATTACTTTTAAAAGAGGGCCTTTTTTTTGTCATGATGAGAGAATTAGTGCGAGTGGAGCAAAGTAACAAATTTCCTGCTAATATTTGTCTGCTCTTGCATGGTAACCCAGAGAGTATAGTCATTAATAGTAAGCTATGTAGGTGGCATATAATGATGAAAAATGACTAAATAAAAGTGATACATTCAGCCTTTGAGAGTTGATGTAAAGTTAAGAGTATTTGGACTATTATCTTTAATTTTTAGAGATCGTGAAGGGGATAAGTTTTAGTGTTCTCCTGTAAAAGTAGCCTTTGTCGCCACTATCACAGTGATAGTGATCTTTTGGAAGCTATTATCTGAGAGTACTTTATACTTAACTTTCTTATAATAATCTGTTCACATGTTTTCTTCCCTCCCAGTGGAGGCTCTTGAGGGCAAGAACCATTATCTTTTTATTCTAGCACCCTTCATTGCTTCTGTACATATAGTAAGGGCTTATTAAATGTTTATCAATGAGTTAAGCATTCTGAAAAGATCTTCGTTCATTTATTTGCTTATTTAGTCATTAATTAAATCTCCAAATACTATATTTTTGGCAGTCTGCTTGTCATTAGGATTGCAAAGAGGAAGAAAGTAAGATACTACCACTGCCCTCAAAGAACATACAATATAAATCTGTCTATAATGTTCTAGTGACTCCTTTTAGTTGACTATCCTCTTATTTATATTTATTTAGTTTACTCAAAGAAGAGAAACATAATTTTTCTTGATAAAAAAGTTGTAAATAAGTCAGCTAGTAGTAATAGTTGCTACTAAGAGAAAGCAGAATTATGAAGTTGTTTTGAGGTATTAGTAGTCTTTGTAGGAGTAAGAAGATCTGCCAGAATGAGTAAGCAGCTAGCCATGAATCCCATAGACTACAGGGAAGTGAACATATCAGGTCCTTAGTGAAATGCATCAAATGAGGGAACAGTAGCAGTAAGTATAGATAACCCCTGCTATTGTAGTTTCAGTGGAAAAAAAAAAAATCTCCAAAGATCATATGATTAAGTAGAAGTGAAACAAGATAAAGAACAAATGGGACAAATAATGACATTAATGGAAGTGTGACCAATATTGAATTGACTCTTCTTTGTCATATGTAGGTAGATTTCCTTTCGAGATCAGACATTGTAGCAAATTTGAGGTCTTTGGTGGGCTTCTATACTTGCTACTGGCATTGTTTTGACAGGAGGACATCATCAACTCAAAAACATATTTTAAAAGGAAAAACCTAGTAACCAAATATACACCTTAAAAATCTGTACAACATTTTAGCTAATAAAATAAAGTGGTTAACTTTGTTATTTTTGCTCTAGTCTTACGTCCCTTGTTGATCAGTCTGTTATGTCGTGAAAGTAATGATTTTTTTTTGTTTTCTCAATTGTAAAAGCTTCTGACTTTTAGATTTATATTAAGGTAATATAAGTTATTTCCTACCATTTTCCTATTTTAAACTTGAACTTAACATCAGTGGAAAGGAAAATAAGTTATGGTAATATAGAATTAAGTGTCCAGCTATTGACAACTATGGAAGTTATTTATTTGGCTTGTATGAAGTGAACAATTTTATGCCACATCACTTTATTTATTTACTTTTAAATCTGAAGAATTTTTCTTTCTTAGAATGAGAAGTTTGTTTCTCATCTGCTTCCAAGCCTTTAGTGACCCTTTCCATAGTGTAAGTCAGTGTTTTGCTCTTTGTTAACCCCCTGGGCCCAAGGTAAGTTAAGTATATTCTCTTGGTTACTTAGTAAGAGTCTAGTGGTACTCCATGCTCTCTGCTAAAATAGTAACTGTCAGTAAATGATCCATCAGCAAGCCCTCTGATCATTAAATGTCTGTAGTGGTTAATTTTCCTCAATGGGGCAGTTACAAAGGCTGAGAAAAGGCAGTATGAGTTATATAACCCTTAGTACAACACTTCCTCAGCAGATACAATGCAGGGAAAAGTCTGTTCAAATCTCCAAACATAACAAGATGAGAAGGCAAGTGAGAATAGTAAAGTAGATCTTCCTTTATTCTGCTCAGTGTAATTCCTCAGAATTTGCATTTTTAAGAAGGCAGAGTATAATATAAGTGAACCATTTAGAGTTGGATCCCACATTGTTTTAGGTTATGCTAACGAGGTCAAATAGGCATAGCCTATCAAACTTTGTATAGCCTATACCCTTTAACTGCACTCAGTGGCTTAGTATGATGCAGGACCATAGCATTGCAGTGCAGGGAAAGCCCATTCTTAACTATTCCTGCTCTATCTAAACTGTAACAAAAGTAACATTGCTCTACAGATTTCCATAATCTAAGTTTCCACAAAGTTTTCTATATCAATTAGAAGATCTGTTAACTGCACAGAAAATGGAGACTTGTGGTAGATTTTATTTACTAAAACACATGCTGCTTCCCTTGTGGCTCAGCTGGTAAAGAATCTGCCTGCAGTGCAGGAGACCTGGGTTCGATCCCTGGGTTGGGAAGATCCCCTGGAGAAGGGAAAGGCTACCCAATCCAGTTTTCTGGCCTGGAGAATCCCATGGACTATCCATGGGGTTGCAAAAAGTCAGACACGACTGAGCAGCTTTCACATGCTGCATCAAGCATGACTTAGTGTAGTTAAGATTAACTTAACAGTAAAACAATGCAGTATGAGTAGAAAGACAATATGAAGAACATTCACAGATAATTACTTTCTATTGTTTGTAAAGAAACCCTAAAACTGTTTTTTGTCTCCTATTTCATAATTGTAGTTTCTTGTGGAATATCTTGATTTGCATTTTTTCTCCCATGGTTATGTTACAGCTATACTTTGGAAGTAGATTTTATTCAACTATTTATTTATTTATACTTGGCCTGTTTTTGGATATGCTTTTCCATCATTTTCCAGAGTATACCCCACAAGATTAGTTAATAGACTGAGTTAAATAAAGTAGAAAGGTTTCTTTTATTGCAAGGAAGTCATTTTTGTAGTTAGGGTATGTAACAGCAGTATCTTTGATCATTGTAATACTGATTTCTCATTTCATACTCTTTTGTCCTATTTGTTGTTGTTCAGTAGCTCAGTTGTGTCCAATTCTTTGCAACCCCATGAACTGCAGCTTGCCAGGCTTCCCTGTCCTTCACCGTCTCCTGGAGCTTTCTCAAACTCATGTCCATTGAGTCAGTGATGCCATCCAACCATCTCGTCCTTGTCATCCCCTTCTCCTCCTGCATCAGTCTTTCCCAGCATAAGGGTCTTATTTAATGAGTTGGTTCTTTGCATCAGGTGGCCAAAGTATTGGAGCTTCAGCTTCAACATCAGCCCTTCCAGTGAATATACAGGGTTGATTTCCTTTAGGATTGACTGGTTTGATCTCCTTGCAGTCCAAGGGACTCTCAAGAGTCTTCTTCAGCACCATATTTCTAAAGCATCGGTTTGTCCTATACTGTTACTGAAATAGCAGTACTATGTTATTTTTCTTGAAATCATCTAAGATCAGTAGATTTTTAAGTCATTTAGGAGTCCTCAGAGCATGGAAAAAGCCAGGGAAATCTGATATTAATCACTTAAAGCTAAACTTTTTTCTCCTCAATTATTTGTCTTTAGAAAAGAAAATATCTCTATTGATGTTTTTATGGAATTGAGAAACTTGGAAAACAGAACTTTCCAGTTCTAAGCCTGAGTATCCAGAATATAAAAAAGTTCAGTTATCTTAGCTGATAGACCTTGTCAGCTGAACAGCCTTGCGATCATTGTGAAGTCAGGAATTTGGGGGTCTGAATCATGATTCCTAAACAGGGGGAAAATTTAAGAGGAAAAAATGGAGAAACTTGTCCTAGGAGATTAACAGATTTTTGCAAGAGATAATTACATATTTTCCTTTGAAGTTATGAAGATTTCTTGCTTGAGTGAACCTCAGTATTACTGTTAAACCTATGGTAGGATACTTATGTTAAGAAAAACCCTAAATTTTTAGGTAAATTTAGGATAATGAAGAACCTTTAACCTTAAAAGCTCTTGAACGTTCTCCACAGTCCTCTTTGAAATCACTGAAAAATGCTGCCATTTACTAAGATGTGCTTTAATTAAACTTGGTTGTTTTCAGGTCCCAGCATTTGAGATACTAAGAGGACTCTGGAAATTCCTCTGCATTTATCTTTAAAGCTTTTTTAAAAATATAGTTTTTCATTTCATTTTATGATGTAAAATGTTTCATTTTATGATATTTATTAGAAAATATGATTTCTGTGTATGTTTTTTTACTTTTTTCTTCCAGTTTCATTGAGATATAATTGACATACAGCACTGTATAAGTTTAAGGTGTACAGCATAAATGGTTTGACTTACACATGTAAGATGATTACTACAAGAAGCTCAGTGAACACCCATCATCTCATAGACACAAATTAAAGAAACAGAAAACAAATTTTCCTTGGGATTTAGGATTTTTTCTGAGGATTTATTCTTAACAACTTTCATATATAGCATATAGTAGTGTTAATTATATTTATCATGTTATGCATTACATCTCTAGTACTTACTTATCTTATAACTGGAAGTTTGTACCTTTTGACTGCCTTCTTCTTAATTCCCCCTCTCCAGCCCTCTCCCTGCCTCTGACAACTACAAATCTGACCTCTTTTTTTTTTTTCTGAGTTTGTTTCTTTGCTTTTGAAATATAATTAATCTACAACCTTATGTTAGTTCCTGTTACACAACCTAGTTACTCGATATTTCCCTACTTTTTAGATGATCATCTCGATAAAGTCTAGTTACAATTTACCACCATAAAAAGATGCTAGTTATTGACTATGTTCCCCATGTTTCATACCCATGATTCATTTATTTTGTGATTGGAAGTTTGTACCTCTTAATCTTCCACTCAGACAACCTTACCTGTTCTCTGTACAACTGTTTCTATCTTGTTTGTTTATTTGTTTTTTAGATTCCATATATAAATGAAATTGTACAGTATTTATCTTTCTATGTCTGGCTTATTTCACTTAGCATAATAACCTCTGGTCCATCCATGCTGTTGCAAATGGCAAGATTTCATTCTTTTTTTATGGAATTTTTAGTTAGTTTCTGTATCTTGGCTGTTGTAAATAATGCTGCCATGAACAAAGGGGTGTGTATATCTTTCTTAGTGTTTTTGTTTTCTTTGGATAAATACCCAGGAGTAGAATTGCTGGATCATATCATATAGTATTACTGTTTTTAATTTCTTGGAGAATCTCCATATTGTTTTCTATAGTGGCAACAACAATTTACATTCCTACTAAGGGTGCACAGCGGTGGTTTGTTTTTTACCAGTTGTAGGTTAAAAATTGTTTGGATCAACTTTAACCATTGTACTATAATTTCTCTGGAAATTAGTCTGTTTTGGAACTTTTAGAAGGGCCTTCCCTGGTGGCTCAGTGGTAAAGAATCCTCCTGCCAATGTTGGGAACCAAGGGTTCAATCCCTGGGTCAGGAAGATCCCCTGAAGAAGGAAATGGCAACCCACTCCAGGATAATTGCCTGGGAAAACCATGGACAGAGGAGCTGGGTGGGCTGTGGTCAATGGGATCGCAAAGAGTCAGATGTGACTTAGCGACTAAACAACAGATAACTTTTAGAACACAGTTAAAGACTGCCTAACCTGGGTTACAGGTCATGGTTTTGGCTCAGTGTGATATAATGAATAGTTAATAAAACTTGAACCATTTAATTAGCATTAAGTAGATGAGTAACTCGGTTTAAAAAAAAATGCAGTAATGGGGCAAGGTGGTGATGGATAAATAAACAAAAGTAAAAAATAGTCCAGGATGTTGTAGAAATCATTCAGATCAAACTTTAAACATGAAAAAAATCTTACTCATGCACTCAGATTAAAAATCCATCCCATCACGTGGAAAGGGCTTATGCAATTTTTTTGATAAGCCCTTTTCTTTTACCTTCCTCCCTTTTCCTTTTTTTTTTTCCCCTTTATAGAACTAAATATGTCTGGCTCTTTGATTTTATTGCCAGACTAAAGTTAGCTCATAGTGATCTGGCAGCTACATATTCAAAGGGAGGGAAACATGGTAAGTAGTTACACACCTCATGATCTAAATCTGTGTGTGAACTGGGTTATCATACATCCCTGTTTGCCTGCGGATAGTGTCAGTGTTTACGTCTGTTATCTGTGTGTACTTATTAGTATCTCTCCCTTTTACTCTCAAGTTTCTGGTTTGGATGATGGATTTTTATGGCCATATATTTTTATAAATAATATGCATTTATTTCAAATACCAGTCTGTATAGAGTCAGTAATGATATTAACTCTAAAGAGAACCATTGTCTGGTTTTCTTCCTCCTTCTGAAAGTTCCTCTCTAAGGTCTTTCTTTGTGCTCTTGTCATCATCAGTGTTTTCTACCTTTATTGATTTAAATCTATAGTATCACTTCCATGTCTGTTTCCATAAATACTTGGTGCCACTCTTACATGTAGAGTTCAAACTAAGATATTGAGTAAACGACTTTGCACTGGGAGTGAAAACAGAATTAGCGGAGCCCTTTGTGGACCTGGTAAAAATTAAATTCCTGGGTGGTGGTTACTGTTTTCAGGGATAAAACAGTGATATGGAGGATAAAAGAGAAAGAAAAGAGATTAGGGGATTGAGTATAAAACAAGAAATTTTCAAAAAATAATTTTGTTTGGATTTGTGTTTGTTATTAGGCATGGTAACTAGGTATTGTTTTGTGCTAGCTTACTTTATTTTGCTATAAAATTCACTTTAGAAATAAAAATTTACATTAAAATTTTTAATTTTAATAAAATATTAAACCCTAAGCAAATTTATTTTTATTTCAATTTTGTATATTATAGCCTTTATTTATTACTGCATATGAATTGCATTATATACAGAATATTAAATGATGAGAGTAATACTTATACGATGTGCTATTTTAAAATCATTAATGTTTTTAGCCATGTTACTTGTCACTTTATAGGCTATGAGAAATTTCAAACCTGTATACCGAAATGGAACCTGTTTAAACTGACAGGTAATTCTATAATTTTTCTTTTACAGGTCATGTAATGTTTGCAGAAATAAAAATGGAGAATGGAAAGTCAAAAGGCTGTGGAACGGTCAGATTTGACTCCCCAGAATCAGCTGAAAAAGCCTGCAGAATAATGAATGGCATAAAAATCAGTGGCAGAGAAATTGACGTTCGCTTGGATCGTAATGCATAATTTGAAACCACGGTTGGAACATTCTTATATGTTTTGCTGAATCTCCTAGTAAACGTCATTTTTTAAGTAATACTGTCTGCTTACAAAAAGTTGTAAAAATGAACTTCTAAAACTTCCCACCAGTTTTTAACAGTATAGTGTTAAATATACTGTGATTTTTGTTAATCTCAAGTTTAGGTTTTTAAGACAGCAAGTCTGGTCATTCAGTTTAAATGAATGGTTATACTATTTTTAATGAAGTAAGCCATTTTTTTGTTATTTTCAGTTCTGCATAGTGGGATTTGTTTGTTAAAAGTATCTCCAGCTTTTATCAACTTACTGTAAGGTAAAGCATAGATGATTTTTTCCAAAACTTCTGTTTAATATATGTAATTGTCCTTGAAAAGAAAGGGCTCAGACAAATTAGGATATGATTTTGGTTGACTTTAAATTACTTTTGTTGATTAAAAAATTACTGTAAGTAAGTTTTAGATCCTGAAGTTCAGAATATTTTTTATTTGAGTTAAATGAAGAAATGGAGTTTTTCTTCTCTGCTCTTCCCCATCATTCACATTTTCCACATAACACTGTTAACATTAATCACCACAGCCCCTTACTTTATTGTTCCCAATAATTCCAAGTTCATATAGAACTGATAATGTTGTAAGCCCCAAGTACAGTAACAGACAGACTACTCCCAACTTTCTGTCTAGTTTCCAGCCATTGAGGTGAACTGCTAAGAAAAGGAAAACAATTGAAATGTTGAGAAAGATGGTTATGTAAGTTAGTCCTCTACTGTTCACTTCTATAGGAGCAGATGCATTTATAAATGCAGTTTTAATAAACCATGGAATACCTAGGCATAGCATATCAAAGACATTGGATCCCACGATGTTAGACATAGCCATATCTCCTTTGCCTGCAAAAAAAGCATGTTGTTAAATGTGCATACCAATACTGTATTTTATTAATAAGCTTCATAAGAAAAAACACTGGATACTTTTTCTGTTTGTTTTGGGAAATTGTTATATTAGAGCAAAAGTCTTACTGAATTTGTATTTTTAAATTTTAGGGGGTTAGTATTTAAAGTCTTAACATTTATTTATCTAATAATAATTATCCTTATTTATTAAATCATTTTTCAATAAGGTATGTAGATTACTTGTTGCTTTTCATTCTAACGTGGTTAATTACGATTTAATTCACATTTCAGGTGAATATTATTTAGGGGATTAGATTTAGTGAAGTTAATCTGCTATTAAATAGTAAATGCTTCCTCTTGAGTTCTTTTTTCTTCAAAGTATGTTACTGAGGAAATATTTTAAAGGTATCTTTGCTTAGTGTATTTCAGTCAGGCTTTTAAGAATGGGCATTGCAGCTTGAGGGACCCAGTTCTTACCTTTTCTTGCAACCAACACACTTGCGATCGTGTCTGGTATGCTTGTTCCTGCTGCTAATAAAGTAAGACCCATTACTGTATCTGGAATTTCTAATGTTTCCCCTGTAACAAACATAGATATTACATATTACAAATCTTATAGATTCACTAACTGTTCTCTGCAGATATTTCTTTCCTGAAAAAGAAAATAGACATATTTAGATTTCAGAACCAATATGTACTTAGATTTTAGGTAGCAAAATATTTTAATAATAATGGTGAATTGGTAACCAAGGTAGCACAGATTTTTCATGACAGGTGGTGATATTTAATACACAAAATTCTACTGAGGAATAATTTCCCTATCTGGTATGCTTATAGAAGTTTTGGATATCCACTGTTATCAAGGCTGTTGCTTAAAATATGCCAATAAGATTGGTCATTTTCTCTTTTCCTTTTTGAAAAATTTCCTAAAGAGGTCAGATTTAAGCAAATTATTTATAGCTATTTTTAGGCTGTAAATATGTTAACATGGTATGCATTTTTAAAGTTCTACTTTAGTGATATACGTTAGTTTAGGTGTTTCCTTTGGGAAATCATAAATCTGAGGAAAACAGAATAGGCTTCTACTTGAGTCTTTCTAACTTTGTGGTCCTGGTTTAATACTTCTGTTAAATCTGATGGCAGTTCATCATTTTTCATAAATGTATCCATTTTGGGAAACAGAACTAGAATGTAACTGCTCTTAATATTGTAATTGAAAATTTGCTTTACAATTCTTTTTTTCTTAAAATGTTAATTTAAAAAAACTTCAAGTAGCATATTTATTGCATGCTTATATATTGCTATTAGAACTGTAATTGGTTGTTAATTTGTTACTGGTTTGCCAGAGTTCATATGTACATGAATAACACTGATGTTTATCATCTTGGGGACTGTTCTGTGACCTAGTACTTGATTTTGTTCTTTTCTTGCTTTCCTAATATCAAATATGATCTGGCTGAGAACATTTATGGAGAGATTTAATATGCAGGCTATTGGATTTTTCCATATTATGCATAAAAAAAAGAAATATTCTTAGAATAGCATACTATTCAAAGTCATATTAATTTGAGAAAAGTCAGAGGTCAGGAAACTTTTTTTTGAAAGGGTGAGATAGTAATGTTTTAGGTTTTGTAGGCTACACAATCTCTGTTGCAGTTATTCAGCTCTGCCAGTATAATGTGAAAGCATTCATGGATAATATATAAATGGACGGGCATGACTCTTCAGTAAAACGTAGCTCGCAAAAACAGGGGACTCGGTGATTTGGGTACACAGATGGTGGTGTGCTCACCTCTGATTAAGTCCATTCAGGTTAACCTTTTTGGGAGAAATTCCTGATTTTTTTTTTGTACATTGTTTATATTCAGTTTTTCCTTCTGAACTAGGAGTTCTTTGGGACTAGAGCTGCTTATGGTCAGGCAGTTATGGTTAAATCTTAATCATGAGAGTAGTAGAAACTAAAATGAGACTTTATTTTATACCCTTTTTATTCATTTTGTAGTATGTTTGTATTACCATATTAAAAAACAAAATGTAATCCAGTTAAACAGTGAATATCCATTGTTTTCTCAAAACACTGGCACCTTGCTATGTGTTAAATTATGGAATGGGATTCAGTATAAGGACTATCTTGTGGACCCATGCAATGTGATTTAATTATTAACAAAATAGAAATTCTGTGAATTTGATATCATTTATAACATGTTCCTTTGACTTGTACCCCTGGGCTGTGTAATGGTGACCATATAGTTGACATGTGGTATACACCTCACAAAACCTGAGTGAGCTTGTTGGTATATTAATATTTAATCTTTCTGTAAATAGCACTAATCTTTATTTTTAGTCTTTGCTGAAAAACAAATTTTCTCTTTAACTAGACTATACTTAGTGAATACATGCTGTTCTTATATACAACTGATTATTTTTAAATTGTGCTCCTAAGATATTATACATACCAGTTATTGTGACCATCCAAACCAGGATATATGTAAATGCAGATATCCACAGTGCTGACATAAAAAATGTTATCACAAAATACTTTCTCCAAAACTTTCTTCTACAATCTGGTGTGGTTAGAAAAAGTAGTATAATAATGGGAAGGGATAGTACCCAAAAAATTCTTTTTAAGTCTGCTTCAGGCATGTTGAAAACACTTGGCGGATCTGTTAAGGAAAAATTAAACGATTCTGAGTTTTCTCAAATGGCCAATTAAGTTAGAAATGTCCATTTAAGAAGCTATATTGAAATAAATTAGCTGTATCAGTTTTTAAGAGGCTATTTAAAACATTTGAATATCTCATTACTGATATTGCTGGCAAAAAGAAGCTAATTGAGACTTCAGGGCTGACTGTAAAATGTGATACTCAGCATTTCTTGATTTGGGGTCTTAAATCCATCAAAGTGTTTAGGGTCATTCACTAAGTGTGTTAGAAACATAATGTTTCTGAAGTATCAGTTCAGCATCTCTTGATTTTCTACAGTGTGGATGGTTTTTAGTAACTTTTGCTTATGGGATTAACCTGGTGTCTTCCCTTAGCAACCCCAGTTGTCTGCACTTCCCAGTATTGATGATACCTCTAGCCTGCCCTAAGTATCACAAAATGTATACTTAGGGAGTAAAAGATAGCTGTAGCATACATAATCTTTTTATTAAGTTGAATATTTCTGATTCTCATTATAGGTCATTTTACGGGGCTTATTTCATCATTTTCTTTCATTAATTTACTAAACAAAATTACCACAATTCTTAGAACCTTAAGAAAATTGGAAGTAGTATTGAATCTACAGTGTAACTTATAAAACTTGAGTATGTTTTTTAAATTCAATTTGTTCTGTTAACTTGGTGGAAGAAGTCAATAATAATCTATTAGATAAAAAGGAGACTTCACTTTAGATTGTTTAAAATTTGTACGGCATTTATAAAGTATTGGGTTGGCCAAAAAGTTTGGTCGGTTTTTTCCATACCATCTTACGGAAAAAATTGAACAAACTTTTTGGCCAGTCCAATGCTATGCCCATATATTAGGTCACATTACAACTAATACTAGTAAAATAACTCTTTTTTTTTTTTTTTTTTTGGCCACATTGCAGCCAATGGGCCAGAAAGTAACAGATATAATTTTATTGTAATAAAAAATGTTTGCACTGGTTTTTTAGTTTCTTGTTATAAAATTTAACTTAGAAATGTGTACTTCTTGTACCTGAAAGATGAGAAACTATAATTTTTGTAAGAAGGGGAAAATTCATGTTTTAATTTTTTCAGGTAATAAATTACTAAGTTTCCTGTCTAATGTACTAAGTAAAATTAAGAATCTGTTTCTTAAACCACTTTATTAAAAAAAAAAAATCCCTAAATTTTTATTTCTGGCTGTAGCTGAATTTGACTTCCTATATACTAAACATGTTAGTTGTTCAGTAGTGTCCGACTCTTTGAGATCTCATGGACTGTAGCCCTGACAGGCTCCTCTGTCCATGGGATTCTCCAGGCAAGAATACTGCAGTGGGTAGGTCATTCTTTTCCCCAGGGAATTTTGGAGGAGGAGGGCATGGAAACCCACTCCAGCAACTTAGCACACATACTATAAACATTTATTTACATGTTTTGCTACTGCTTCACATGTTTAAAATTCAACTGTTTCCTTCCTACTTTTTCTTCACACCAGCTCTTCTTCCTAAATTCCTAGTTTTTGTAAGTGATATTCTCATTTTCCTACTTTGGCATGATCAAAAGCCTCAAAATTATCTCTGCTCCCATGTGGCCCTTCAGTTGCCTGGTCTTGGTGATGCTTCCTCTGCATTGTCTCACATCTGTTTTCTTGTGTTCCCACTGCCTTCACCTTGTCTAAGCATCTGTTAAACACATCAGTTGGTTTAGTGGCCATGTCTTTTTATCTCATATTTCAGTTCTGGTAATTTCTCTGCAAACCTGCAGACGCTGTTAATGTATCCTTTAGGAATCTGTGGTATTCCTTCCTGTCCACCTTTCTTCTGCTTCTATTCTGCACATTCAGTCCTCCAGTTATGTTAGTACTTGACAGGCCTTTTCCCCATGTTATTTCTTGGTCAGTCCATGGAGTGCTGCTTACTCTTAGCTCTGCATCATTTACTTATGACACATGAAGTCTGATAAAACTTCAATAGCTATTACCATAAATCAAGTTGTTAAAATCTTACTATTCTACAAGGCTTAGTTTGTCTGTATGATAATCTTTCCTATCTAACCATCCTCATCAAATTTTTTTTTACCATCTGTCCCATTTAGGAACTATGTTTATGCTTTATTTCTTTAAGTATTTAAATGTTCATATTTTAGCTATTTTGTTTTTTTTTCTGTAATATTGGAAGCTTCTTTAAGGAGAGGTCTGCCTCTTGATCATCTCTAAATTCCCATAGTATTTTTTAAATAGTATAGTACTTGCTGAATTGAAATGAAATTAAGTTTTGCTAGTAATAGACTTAATAGTGGTCATGATGTGGTTATTACCTTCACAAACCTGACTAAGACCATGTAAACTTAATGAAAGTTGGGAGTAGCCAGAATCTTCATGAAATACTCCGCTGTCAGTTCTTGATTGCCTGCGGATGAATGGTTGATTCTCATCTTCCCATCCCATCAGTGGCTGTTGTTCACTTCTCTCTTCTATTGCTTTGGCAAGACAGGTACAGCAAGGACTGCATTTCTTTATAATATACTGATTAATTTTAATGTCAAAACACAGCACCACAACATATAATCCGTATATCAAAAGCAGTAAAGTTCCTTCATACCTATAAATTAGAGAGATTTGTGTGGTTTTCAATTTAAAGTGAAAGTTATTTTAGAGTTAGTAGTTTTCGGGCAGTATCTGCTTTATTTTCTAATGAAGCAATAGAACAGAAATATTCTAGAAACATTTTGATTTTGTAGATGTGTCCAGATTTGGTTACAACATTATTAAAGACTTATTGATGAAAGTTTGACACTGTCCTTTTTGTATTTTAAAAACAAGGATTATAAACTCATTCTTAATTTGCAGAATCCTTCCAAATATCAGGCATAGAAAGTTCTTTGAAAATGTGTGTTAGTCGCTTAGTCGTGTCCAAATCTTTGCGATCCAATGGAATGTAGCCTGCCAGGCTCCTCTGCCAATGGAATTCTCCAGGCAAGAATACTGGAGTGGGTTGCCATTCCCTTCTCCAGGGATCTTCCCAACCCAAGGATCAAACCTGAGTCTCCCACACCACAGGCAGATTCTTTACCCTCTGAGCCACCTGGGAAGCCCTATTTGAAAATAATAGTAATTACAGATTTTCAAAATGAAAGTGAAAGTAATGAATGAGTGAAAGTAATGAAATAAGTGAAAGTAATGAAAGTGAAAGTAATGGGGCTTCTCCACCTCGGTTCATTGAAAGAAGGTAACAATTATAAGAATATAGTATCCATTCATTTCAGTTGTTCTGGTATAGGAATTCTGTGCTAAATCAGAATATGTTAGACTTTGGCTGAAGCTTTTCAATTTGCTATACTGAGATTTTTTGATGATTTTAATGTAAATGAGTTTGGCTTGCACCGTTTTCCTATACTCTGGTTTGCTATTTAGAGAATTTTGATTATCTGATACCATCATATTTGAACCTTGCATTTACCTTTTATTTTATAGCTAGTGAATCACTGCTATAGCTTGAAAGCACAGAGTTCTTGATTTCCCTAATGAAAGGAGCATTAGCTTGGATACTCCCCTAGTCATTGTCCCCTTGCAGACAACTGCTAAATCCCAGAAGCACTTCTCTTGTAACCAACAGTCTTTCCTTGGGAGACAGACTAGATTTCAGGAAGATTCACTTTGAAAATTTACTCCCTGCTAGGTCTGAAGTTTCTTGGTAGCAGGTATTAGAGCAGCACTGCCAAACTAGTATCCCAGAGGGTGCCATTGACTTCCACCATCAGGCAGTGTGCAGTCTGTGTGTGTGTTACATTTGTTCATCTGTTAAGACTCATGTCATAGTGATCAACACCTGACAAATACCTGGTACGTGTTGGCTGAAAAAGTGACTGTTTCTGTTTTCTTAGAATGACAAGGCATGGGGAGATTATAAATAAAACAAATAGTCTTTAGTCTTGAAACCTAAAACATTTTTAATTTTTAGAGGAAGAGAGCTATAGTTCTCTTACTAAATGAACATCAGGGGAAAAGTTGGAGGAATTTAAAGGGACTTTGTTTATTTCTTTGTCATCTCTAATTGTGTGATCATGGCCACTTCTAACTGAGGAAAGGTAAACAACCCAGTAGATGAAAGAGCCACCAGTTGGGAAACTTATGTGAAGGTAGTCAGTGGGGAGAAAGAAGGATGGTTACATCTACTGGTTAGACAAAAAGGAAGACTGATTTGACTGAAAAATTGCACAGGGAGAACAGCCCAACCAGCAACTATGATGAGGAGGTTAGCTCTGAGATCTACGGGAAAAATGCATGGACGTGGTAGATGATGGAGAAGTGAAAGAAACAACATTTCTGAAGAAAAAGTTACTAAACCAGAATTTTATAAAAATACTCTCTGTAATTGTTTTACATAAGAGTAATGATTGTTTCAAGCTTACCAGTAAACTTGGTTGTCAAATATTATGGCAAGAAGTGCTGCAACACTGATAGCATATGCCGCACAGTCTCTGAATAGGGGCCAACATGATAGCGTTGAAACCTGTAAAAATAATTAGTGTTTCCATTACACTGTTAACTTCTTCAAGTACTTGCTTAGTGTAATACTAAAATTATTTGTATATTTGTAGTAAAACATTGTTATCTTTTGCATATTGCTTTTAGAGAAAGGAATTTTAAGAAAAATTGTGTTTCTAAACCTAGTCTGATTTTCATAAATTTGACCAAGAGGTATTTGTGGGTTAACTTAAAATTGAATACATGTTGTTTTTCTACTGATTAATAAACTTAATTGAACACATTCCTAGTGCCTTGTTTGTTCCAGACTATAAACAATTCTTTTTTTTCTTTGTCTTTTTTTTAATAAATTTATTTACTTTTTAATTGAAGGATAATTGCTTTACAGAATTTTGTTCTTTTCTGTCAAAGTCTGTCAAATTCTCTTGTTTTCTGTTGTTTCTTTGGATGAACCTAGAGCCTATTATACAGAGTGAAGTAAGCCAGAAAGAGAGAAATATCATATACTAACACATATATACAGAATCTAGAAAAATGGTACTGAAGAATTTATTTGCAGGGCAGCAGTGGAGAAACAGACATGGAGAATAGACTTATCGACATGGGGAGAGGGGAGGAGAGGGTGAGATGTAGGGAGAAAGTAACATGGAAACATATTACCATATGTAAAATAGATAGCCAAGGGGAATTTGCTGTATGTCTCGGGAAACTCAAACAGGGGCTCTGTATCAACCGAGAGGGGTGGGATGGGGAGGGAGATGGGAGGGAGGTTCAAAAGGGAGGGGATGTATGTATACCTATGGCTGATTCATGTAGCGGTTTGACAGTAAGCAGTTCTTATTATTTGTCAATACAATATATTTTGTTGAATAAAGTTTTCTTACATACCACATTAGATAGTAAGCCACAGGCTGCACAGATACCAAGGAGGTTATAGATTGCAGATCCAAGAATGGTGCTAATGCCAATATCGCCCTTTGTGATAAATACACCTATGAGCCAGATAGTAGCTAAGTTAGTGTTGACTTGGAGAAGATCAAATCACACCAATTGAGCAAAAAAATACAAGGAGCAGTATTTACCTAGAAAAGCAGTAACTAATTCAGGAGCTGAACTACCGGCTGCCATAAAAGTTGCACCTGCAACATCCTGGGACAGTCCAAAGGCTGAAGACAAATGAAATTATATTATGCCTGACAAGTGACAAATGGGAGTGCATGTTCTCATAACTAAATAGATATCAAAGCTACATTTTCATAGAAAGCCATTTACTAACTTCAACTGGAAAACAACCAATAGAGGCAGCCTTCTAGGCGTTATTTACCCTATATCAGAAAGTTAAAATTAGAAGGAAAATTCAGGTTTCCAAGCCATCTATAGCAATCCTTTGTTAAGTTTATTGTTTAATATATTACTGATTTTTGACAGTCTTCCCAGACCCTCAAACTCTGGTGTGCTTGATTGAGTCCCTGTCACCTGTAGTCAGTATTTCCTTATTCTTAACCTGTTGCTCACTCTCCAGTCCACCTCAAGTTCTACTTCTCTACTGAGATATCTGCCTTTGACATTACTAATTTATTTTCTTGTTGGTGGCGTAGCAGGTTGAATTTTATAAAAATAGCTACAATATTTCTGCCCATATGGTTTTCCAGAACCTGTCCATTCCCTGTCAAACAAACTAAAACAAAAAATAAGGTGGAGTGTATGTATGAGCCTAGATAAGCCTTTGTGACTGCTGAAAGTATGGCAGAACTATATGCCTGAAGTTAGGACATAAAAGGTGAAAAAGCTTTCTAATGGTTCTCTCTCTAGGGACATTTGCTTCAGAGCCCTAAGCTACCACAAAAAACCCTGGCTGCCATATAGGAAAGACCTTGTGAAGAGCCCACATAGAGATGCCTGAGGAACCCCTGCTGTCTCAGCCCCTCAGTTTTGAATCCTCCCATCCCAGCACCAGACGTGAGAAGGAGCTTTCGGATAATTCTAGTCCTTCCTTCTATCACTGCATGAAAGACCTCAAGCAAGAACCATCCAGCTGAGGCCAGTAAACCCTTAAAGCTATGAGAAGTCTGAAATGATTGTTCTTTTAAGCTCCTAGTTTTGGGGTGATTTCATAAGAAGCCATTGATAACTGGAACACCTGACTATTGTTTATCTATTTGTTGTATTTATTGACCACCTACTGTACCAGATGCTTTTTTTATGTGATAGGAATGTGGCAGTCACAAAACAGACAAATGTTTCTCTTCTGGAATTTAATTCCAGTGAGAGCAAACAGACAAGAAAAAATATATATTGTGTTAGAAGGAGCAAAAGTCAGGTGTGAAGTTGCTCAGTCATGTCCAACTCTTTGGGACCCCATAGCTAACCAGGTTCCTCCATCCATGGGATTTTCCAGGCAAGAATACTGGAGTGGGTTGCCATTTCCTTCTCCAGGGGATCTTCCCAACCCAGGGACTGAACCCGGGTCTCCCGCATTGCAGGCAGACGCTTTACCCTCTGAGCCACCAGGGAAGCTCACAAGTCAGGAGGGGGGATATAAAGTGTCTTGGAGGAAAGATTGTAATTTTAGATTGGGTAACCAGGAAGGACTTCACCGAGATGCTAACAGAGTGAGGGAGTAGCCACACGTAGACCTGGGAGTAATATAGGCAGATGGACTGCGTGCAAAGGTTTTGAGGTAGACTCTAGCCTATGTGTTCAAGAAACAGAAAGGCCAGAGTGTCTGGAATAAAGTGTGTGAAGGAGAGCTGTAGATGATGAAGTGAGCGGTGACAGATGGCCAGATCATATAAAGCCTTGTGGATCGTAGCAAGCACTTGGGCTTTTATTGTCAAAAATATGGGAAGTGCTTGGAAAGATGGGCTTCCCTAGTAGCTCAGCTGGTAAAAAATCTGCCTACAAGGCAGGAAACCCCGGTTCAATTCCTGGGTCAGGAAGATCTGCTGGAGAAGGGACAGGCTACCCACTCCAGTATTCTTGGGCTTCCTTGGTGGCTCAGCTGTTAAAGAATCTGCCTGCAATGCAGGAGACCTGGCTTTGATCCCTAGGTTGGGAAGATCCCTTGGAGAAGGGAACGCTACCCACTCGAGTATTTTGGCCTGGAGAATTCCATGGACTGTATAGTCCATGGGGTCACAAAGAGTTGGACACGACTGAGCGACTTTCACTTTCACTTTTGGAAAGACATCTACAGTGTTGCTTGCTGGTGATACGAGCCACAGTCATCTTTTTTATCCCCATGAGGCTATCTGGTTTCAGTGGACCAACCAGCTCTAGTCAGAACTATTTTGCTACCTGTTAAGCCTCCATTGGGAAAAATCCTCTCAGGATAGTTGAAATTACCAAATCCAAGTTCTCTATCCTATTTGTCTTTGGTCATGTTGCTTGATGAATGCTATTTGTGGTGACTAATGAAGGAACAGAAGTAATTTTTGTAAGTTACATTTCATAGCATTTCTTTAACTGGTTAGAATGATTTTGCCTATATATATAGTATTTATACTCTTACTACAACTCTGATACATAGTAGGTCCGGTTGGTCATAAAACTTAGAAAAGACGAAGCATATTCTATTAACTTCTTAAAAATTTTATCTATGAATTAAGTAATATCTTATATTCATGACATGCAATTCACTTTCATATACATAATTTAATCATCTCAGCTATTCTCAGAAATGAGTGTTAGTTGCTCAGTTGTGTCCTACTCTTTGTGGCCCCATGGACTGTAGCCTGCCAGGCTTCTCTGTCCATGAAATTTTCCAGGCAGGAATACTGAAGTGGGCAGCCATTCTCTTCTCCAGGGGATCTTCTCGACTCGGCTCAAACCCAGGTCTTTTGCATTGCAGGCAGATTCTTTACCATCTGAGCCACCAGGGAAGTTCTTAGATATGAGTTGTGGTATTTCCATTTCACATATAAAAAACAGATATCCAGAAGGTTAAGTAACTTAAAGTTACATGGAAAGTAAGAGTCTTAAATGTGAGGAGCTTGGACATAAACCCCAAGTCTATCGATTCTAAACATGAAACATGAAAGTGAAAGTCACTCAGTCGTGTCCCACTCTTTGTGACCCATGGACTATACAGTCCACGGAATTCTCCAGACCAGGATACTGGAGTGGGTAGCCTTTCCCTTCACCAGGGGATCTTCCCATGGAACCCAGGTCTCCCGCATTGCAGGCAAATTCTTTACTGACTGAGCTATACCTAAGTCCAGTGCTATTTCTGTTTCACCACAGAAACTCAGTATCAGAAAGGCACTGAGGCAATTGTAAGATGGGAGGTGGTTGAGTCATTTTCTTCGCTTCCTCGTGGCACTGGTACATAACTTCCCCCATTGTATTATTTTCTAGGGGGAAAAATAGCTAGTGGGAGTTAGTAATAATTAAGAAGTTTTCTAGCATATTCCAGAGAATGTATAAACTTAGTGATATTACCATGAATTCTTGAATGAAATCAGGGTTAACTAATACATGGAGGAAATTGAAAAAAGAACAAAATATCTTAAATTGTCTAAACTTGGGTCAGCTGAAGAGTGATTGGCTGAAGAATGCTTCATTAGAAAAATTCAATCTGGAGAGAGAAAAAGTGACCCTTCTGAACACTCTCTCTCTCAAAAGGCAATAACAATAAAGCTTGTTGCTATTCACTGGGCTCTATTCGAGTTATGAAAAGAAGGGCTCTCTACAGATGGATTTATAAAACTTCAAAGATATTTTAACAAGTTATATCTTAAGGTTCTAAGCATATTTTGTAGGATGGTTTATACCTTTGAACTTTAGAATCGACTGGCTTTGTCTTCACTGACCTTTGGGTAGCATTTCTCTCTGTTATAGTTTATTGTTAAAGATAAATTGTTCTGTTTCCCCCTCCCCCAGAGCTATTACTTTTTTTCCCCTCTCTATTACTCTAAAGAACTAATCATATTTCCTTGAGGGTATAGTAGAAATGTTCAAGGTGAGTTTTCCTTATAGGTTTAGATATTACATTTGTTATATAAAGTGCAACTTTATGATAATGAACTGATTACTAAAACTCAACAGACTTTTTCTTGAGCATGTTCTCTTCTCTGATACCATGCTGCAAAGTTTATAACCATCTTTGCAAATCTTTTTCTGGAAATATAATATAGAAAAAGAGTTTTAAACTAAAGTGGAAACTTGGCTTCTGGCCCTGCCAATACCTTAATGTGAGAATTTAGGTAAGTCATTCAGACAAGGCTTGTATTTTGCCATCTGTATGAGGGTTGGAATATACAAATCTTTAAGGTATCTTCTAATTTTATCAATTTAAGAAAAGTATAAAATATGAATTCTGTGCCTTATGCCTCTGGACCACCTCTTATTGTTAGATAAATTCCTTTTATAATTAAAATTCCCTATGTTAACTGAAAATTTAGAAGATAGAGGAGAAAACAGATGGGAGGCAGCATCATTTATACTTTTACCATTGTATTTTAACCACTGCTACCTTTTTAAAAATGTATTTTCAGTTCTTTTCACATATACATTTAACAGAGTTACAAGACTAGGCTGTAAGCAATTTGGTGTCTTCTGGCACAATTTTATAAAGTCCTCAGTGATAGCAAATTTTTATGCTTTGTGAATGGATTTGAGTTTTGGAAGCAATTAAAAGTCATTCAGACCCAATTCTAGTGACTATGGTGGGTAGTCATGCTGAGTAATTCTACTTAGGGTTCAAAGTTGTGTGTGACAGCAAACCAGTGTTTTTTATGATTTGCAAAATTGGTTCTGACATTAATTTCAAATATTATTTCTAGGAATATTTTGAGTAAAGTCAGCATCACTGGAATAAATGCCTAGCCTCTCCATGCACAATTCCATCTATATGCTCTGTGATGCTTCTAATAGTAAATAAAAACATTTTGAGTACTTTATAGTTATCATCTCATATCTTGTCTGAGCCATAATGGAACAAATTCTGAAGCCCTGTGTAATGCTTTGAAAAGCCCGATTCCACTGAAAAAGGACTCCCCCATACCCTAATCTAACAGCTATAACATTAATTAGTTTCCACTTGCTTTAAGTCAATCATATAAAGCCATATGCAAGACTTTTTGTCTCCAAACCTCACAATTACCTGAGTTTTGTCTCCATAACTTAATCAAGGTCACATAGGTAGTAGTTGCAGAGATGGGATGGG